TCGGAATTCAATTTCGGGGTCATTTTAAATTAACCGGGGTCGGGTTTTGGATTTTTAATTTTGGGAGCATGTATAGTGATGACGATGGTTAACTTTTGTTGTCAGACCACGTATCTGACCAGGAATAACCTACAGCTAACTCATTCCCAGCATAACCTACCTTGGGAAGCTCCTTATATTCGAAATCAAATATAGTCACCATATACTATACAATTTTTGATAACGAATTTAAAAATCTAGAAGCTTTAAAACATCATACAAAGTAGTCGCACGTGCAACTTCATAACCTAAATCGGGGAGCTTACTAGTTTTAAAACTAACTGTGAATGTCAAATTGGTATACAATGCGTCATATACAATTTGATAATAAAGATCAGCTAGACTGCTAACTCAATATATGTCCGTTCGAATGTGACCTAAAAAATATATCACGCCACTGACAACGGTGACCACTTTCAGTTGTCAGACCACATGACGACGGTGGCCACTTTCAGTCGTCAAGTTACATATCCAAGTAGAAATAATCTAAACTAAGTGGAAATAACATAATTATGTTATTTCCACTATTTTATATATCTGAAGCCTAATTTAGAGCATTAAAACCAAGAATAATTTTCAATATCAAGAGGTTAAATTTATTTTTTTGCTATTCTAAAAAGTTTTCTAAGAAAAATTAAGCTTAAATAAATTATAAAGTAATTAGAACAAAATATATATTGATATTGTATATAGTTTAAATATAAATCTAACCTCTGTGGGATTAGACTTATGATATCAAAAGGTTAGATTTAGTAAGATATTATGCATTTTAGCTTGCTGCATATCAGAGAAGGGATTAGAGATATTCATTACATTCATATCCCTTCACTGTTTCTTTTTGTTTTTTTAATGACAAGCAGAGTAGTATAAAATAAATCTAACTAAAATATATCAAAAATGTAATACAAAACATAAAACACATATCATTCAAGTGAGGTGTAAAATGTTTTTTCCAAGACTAATTCCAATCAGTTACTAATTTGAGCTTCTAGCATGGCCAGCACACTAATGTCAATATTGATGGTTTTGTTCCAAAACTTCTAAATTAGTATTGTGTGATATCTAATACCTTCTTCCATTTTTTAAATTTTTTTGAGTTATAATTAAATGATTTGAATAATACTCCAAAGATAATATATTGTATCATGAAACATATGTATTTTTTCCAGATTTATATGTTGTTACTACTTGAAAAGAATTTGGATAATCTTCTTCAAAGATTCTTGTTGAATATTTATCTGTAAAACTTATTAAAATTAATAAAATATAAAAATAATTATAATAACACATCATATAAATTAAGTACTACCATTAGAACTTTTGTTTAAATAACTTGAGATAATACTATTATTAGGACTTTCATCTAATTAACTTGATATAATATTACCATTAGAAATTTCATTTGATTAACTTAACATAATATATGTATAATAGTACTAAGGTTGTGTTTTTGTATTGTTCTGTTCTTTTAATTTTTAATAAAGTTAAATATTTGTTTAATTTTTAATAAAAGTTAATATTATAAATCTTATTTAGTTTAAAATAGCTTTTCACAATTATATACAATTCAAAACTGATTCATAAAACCAATTGGAAACCAATTGGTAATATCTTTCAAAACAATAGTAATCCAAAAGTTACTAGTTAACAAAAAAATTTTTCAAGTGAAATGATCTATCTAATATCCTATTTTTATTTTTTGGTATTACAGATATGAAATTACCAGTGTACAACTTTAGATTTTAAAATCTATTTTTTATTTTATGTGACAAAATTGAATGGAGTCAGATTAGCACATATGATATTACACAGGGAAATAAACAGGCATTTTGATTGGTTAAAAGCTAAAGATAAAGAAACTATTCTATTGGTTATAATCATATATACATGATTATTTTAAATAAGACTACAGTGATTCTTTTGTATTTGACTAGTGTAATAATAACTAACAAAAAGTTATATAATTATTGTGTTGTTTCTGATAATCCTGCTTGATTAATTATAACAAATTACAAAGTTAGCAATAATCCTACTTGATCAATTATAACAAATTACAAAATTAGAGAAGAGAGTCAACTTAGGTGTAAGTAAAGATAATGTCCTTAATTAAAAAAAGAAATTTATGTGATAATTCTTACATATCAAAGACATGTAGTTGATATAAAAACATTCAGAATATTGGAAGATCAGAAATGTACAAATGAAAGAATTGAGATATAGAAATAGATAAAAAATGGTAATGACACCTGAGAAATATTCCTTTGAGTTTTTGCTTGATAGAACCATGATCTTGTTATAAGATATCTTCACACAAGAAATGGTAACTTTACTTAGCAATACTTGTTATTGATGTGTTATAATCTATCCATGGTCACAAACAACACAGTAAACAAGTTATGCTGTTTTTCTAAGAGAAATTATTATTAAAGAGAATTCTAAATCCATTTTACAAAATAATTAAACTCTTTTTTGTTCCTCTTATCTTTGTGGATGATAAATTTAATTTACTGTAATAATAATAATGATATGAAATGAATTTAATGTTTGTAATTATAATGAATAATATCTATAATGTTTACATAATTACTATTTAAAACTAAAAAAAAAAAAAATTATAAATATATCAATTTTTAGTACATTAATTAATTCAGTAGAAAATAACAAAAAATATACATAAAAAATTAAATTTTAATTATTGAATACGTAATCGACTCTCTATTTCCTGCCTAGTGGTCATAACTAAACTATCTTCATCTTGTTTAGATGCATTGAATTGCAAAACATTTTGATTGAAAGGATTTTCTGGAGATTTCTATTTTTTATAAATTAATTAATTATAAAGTTTCAATATTAATTATTATTATTATTATTATTTTATTACCAACCTGAAAATTTTTGTAAATCAAATCCCGATATTGAGTATAACGCAATCCCGGATTCTCTTTTTTTATTCCTGGCATCTCGCGTTCTTCATAAGCTGACAAAGCCGCCTAAAGAATAAATTGTATTGTGAAAACATATGATTATTTATATTTTTATATATTTTAATAATATTTTTTTCTAACCTTAAATCTTCTTTCCGGATGCCTATCAATTGTTACTTTACTATTACTGTTTAGGGCACTTGTGATATTTGAACTTCCACCCATTGCTGAAGGATCGGTGGCTATTGATAATAAATCTAATGCATCATCAATATTGGATGCCGAAAATTCTGGAATTTCACGCTTTTCTATAGAAACTTTTTCGTGTTTTTGTGTCCTTTTCATTGCTTTTTTCTTTTATATATTTAAATAAATTATTATAATTAATATTAATTGGATAATAATTATTCAATATTCAAAATATTCAATAAGCACCTCTTCCCCTGTTGCATTTATTATAGGCTTAAATTTTGAAAGCTCTTTTTCTTCTTGTTCTAATATACGCGCTGCTTCCATTTTCTTTGCTAATTGAGCTTCCTATAATAATCATAATATATTTTAAATAAATTATAATAATTATAAAATTAATTGTTAATTTATGATTTCAATATTTTCTTGATTTGTATAAATATTTATCTATCTATCTATATAAATATAATAAGCACAATATACCTTCTTTTGTTTTTGTATTTCTTTCTTAGAAATATCTTTTGCACCGACAGCCCATTCTTCTGATTCTTTACGTTCTTTATCCGCTTTTTTTTTAGCTTCTGTTTCTATCTTATGTTGATTTTTACGTTCTTTAGCAGCAGTAACTATATTAATAAACGTCGTAATATATTATTACGTTGAGCCTTTGATAATAATAATTAAATAATTATTCATAATAATATTAATAGATCACCTTTAGTATTCTCTCCTTTAAATTTTTTTGGCATTTTATCAAAAATTGTTTAATAATGATATCAACAAAATTTTATGTTGTGCCTCAGATCGACGCAGGGTTTTAATTTAAAAAGATCTACATAGGCCCGTTTAGTCATAATTCTGATAAATCGGCGTCATCTGAAGCAGACGCAACACAATGTCGCCGCATATTTTCGCACGTTGCATGTTTAATTAAATTTTATTTTTATTTTGTGTTACGGTGTTCTTCATATAAAAATGTTAATAATTAAAATGATGCAGTTAGAATTCATTTTTTCCCTCAATTTTCATAATTATTTTTTATAATTAATTATCAGTAAATTATCAATTTTATCAAATTCATCCATCAAATTCAATTATTAAAAAGATGGAAATACCCAAAGCAGTAAAAAATTTTGAATTACCACAAGCGGTTAAAAATATTGACCTTCCGGCTGCCATGAAAAATATCGAACTTCCTGCCTCGGTTAAGAATAATATAGAGATGATACCTGAAGCAATGAAAAATATTGATTTTTCAAATGCTATGAAAAATGTTCCAAATGCATTAAGAGAAGTTCCCAATGCTGTAATGAATACACAAGTTCCTATTTTTTCTGGTAAAGTTTAATTAATAATTTCAGTTAATTATTTTAATTAATAATTTTAATTAATAATTTTAATTAATAATTTTAATTAATAATTTTAATTAATAGTTTTAATTAATAATTTTTGTTAATAATTTAATTCATATATATATATATGTGTATAGCATTTGCAACTTCTGCTTTTACAAGTGTTGCATCTTTAACAAAAAACATTCAACAAAAAGTTGAACAAACAGCTAAAGAATTTCAACAACAACATCAAGAATTCATTAAAGAAGTAAAAGAAGAGACACATGAATCAAAAGTAGGAACAGGTAAATAAATGATTAATGATTTAATAACTTTATTTTATGATTAAAAATTTTTCTAATAATAATAAATTTCAATATAATTTTTATATAATTTTTAGAAGCTATTCCACCATGGGCAGGTTTACCAAATGAAGAAGAGCTTAAAGAACAAATTATGGCTTTATCTCAGGTTAATATTCTAATTTATTAAATATTTTTATTAATATTAATTATATAATTTTTTATGATTTATTATTGTAATAAGGATAAACGTAATTTCACCATTCCACCCCCAGAAAATACAAATTTTCAATTTGAACTGCATGTTTACTACCAAACTGCTATGGCAGCTCTTCAAGCTGATCCTAAACTAAATCGTATGCGATTTGAATTAGTTCCAGCAATGTATGTAACAAGATTATTTAACAAGATTATCTATAATTAAAATTTTATGAATTTGCATTAAATTTATTTTTATTTTAATTTATTGATTTTTTTTTTTATAGAGTACCAGAACCAACTTTTTGGAGAAATTATTTCTATCGTATATCTCTTATTAAACAGACATCATTGGGTTCAATGGAAGATACAGTTTTGAAAAAAGAAGTTTATTCTAAGGATGTTGGTGATAAAGATTTAACAATTGTTACTCGAGAAATTAATGAAAAAGCGAGCGAAATTATTGAGGTTTGTAAATATTTTTATTTATTTATAATTGATTATTTATTTATTTATTTATATTTATAATATTTCAGGTCAAGGAAAAAGATGAAGCATCATCTACTAATAGTGAAATATTGTTCGATGCTTCATCCAAGTCTGGTGATGATTCAGGTATTCTATAAATCTTATATATCGTATTTATATCACACATATATATATATATATATATATTTATCCATCACATACATACACATTATGATATAACACTTTATTTCACTTTAATAATATAGATGCATGGATTGATGAATTTGCTAAAACAACAGAATTGGAAGGCGTAGAAGATGGCGAAGATGAATTTCCAGAGAATTGGGAGGAACAACTAAAAGAACAGCTAAAGGAGTAAATGTCTTTATAATTTATTTATTTTATTTTAATAAATGCTAGGTAAACTATATAATGTCATAATAATATTTTCTATATTTAATATCTATACGTATATTTACACACAAATTGCTTCTACCTTTTAAATAATTTCAATGTATATTTATATCAAAATTGTAAAAAAAAAAAATGGTATATATATATCGAATAAATAAATTTTCTTTATTTCGGCAAAATCAAAATAACGAATTCATTTTTATGCGTGCAAATCATAAGTTATAGTTTCATCACTGATTAAATTTATTTAGAATTAATTTAGGATCGTATCTCGCCATTTGAAAATCATCAATAGAATTTGAGATAAAAAAAAATACTTAATGTGAACCGTAAATACAAGTTATACAAAGACAAGAGAAATATCTTTTATACATTCATTGTATCTCCGTTATTTAATAATACAAAAAAATAATTTAACTGTAGACAACCTTGACTAAATTTGGTGGAGTGTTAGAAGTGATTATCTTCAATACTTCAGAAATATCATCCTTAACTTACTTTAACATCATACAATGCTTCTAACACTGGTATCAAACTTAAGAATTGTGCTTGTTCTGTTGTTATTAAGAACCTAACCTCAGCCAAATCAGAAGTTTGTTCAAATTTTACAATTATTTCTATAGTCAACGATCTGACAAGAAATTCTTACCATGTTAACCATATTCATTTCATACGATTTGAACAAATCCCAGGTTTTAATTTATATTGGAAGGTCACATCTTTTCAATTCCTTTCTGCATATAAAATCTTAAATACTTACGTGATAATTAAGTTACTTCTTTTGAAAACAATCTTTGGTGGAAGAAGATACTGACTATACATGTTATTAAAAGTAAAAAACCTAACTCAGTTACTGGAATTTAAATGCTTCTATGTAATTGCATCAAATAATTATGTCAACTGCATCAATTTTCATATGACTCAATTTCAATTTTCATAATTTTAATTGTCTGACTAAATTTCATAGTTTTAATGACATGTATAATACTGACAGTGCAGAATAAAAAATACTTTGGTGCTCATGAAGGCAATACTTGGCATTCATAACTTCATTGCACTCTTTAGTAAATTTACACACACTTTGGCACTGGTAAATGCAGAGGCAGTAAGAGGATACTGGTAGCACAGAACAAAATACTTTGGCACTCATGAAAAGCAATAAAGTAATATATGTAAGTATATATTATGTCATCAAAATGAAAAGCCTTTGACTCAATTACTGGAATTTTAATTGCATCTATATACTGTATAATTGTGTCAAATAATTGTGTTAATTTTTCATATGAATTCCAAATTTTTGTAATTTAAATTGTATCTGACTAAATTGATGACATGTATATATTGCACATAACAAAAACAACCTAAAATTTGGATTTTCATTGCATTTTTACAAATAATGGGCGTCAAAACATCCCTATTACTCCTCCATTTTGGTACTCACATCCTAACAGTAAGCTCATGAGCCTAAAGTATCACATGGGCCTTATGTACACAGTTACGGATATCTCGCTTTTTGCAATTTCACCTGTAAATTGAACAAAATTTATTTAATATTTTTTATAAAAATAATGAAATATATGTTGATTATGAAAAGAAATAACTCAAGGAATCTTGGTGGATCTACACACACTTTGGAACTGATAAATTCAGAGGTAATAAGAGGATACTGTCAAAAATACTTTGGCAATGTACATAAGTATATATTGCATGCAACAAGGCATCCCTTGTTACTCTCCACTTTGACACTCATATTCTCATTGCACTAAAAGTATGCTCATGGCCTAAGCATCAATAATAGATATGGTAAAAGATAAAAAAAGAGTTAGGAAATGTATCAAACAGAGGAAAAAAAAGAAACAAAACTTACTTTTTTATTGTTTATTTATGAAGGTACTAAAAAGGAAGAGAAAATTTAATAATATTATTTGAAAGGTGAAAAGAGTAAGAAAAGCAGAAAAAAGAAGAAATAAAGAATCATTTTTGCTAGTCATCAAGGCGTTTATATGATTATTTAATGAAATTTATCACATGATCGTTATCAATCATATCAATGCTGACACATCAATATCATCTGACAGCGACAATCAGCTAAAAAAATTTAACTGAAAATTTATTACATTATAAAATTTCTAAATTTGTAAATATATATATATTATTATTATTATCTACATGCGATTCATATTTTTATTAGAACAATCAAACTAAAAAAAAAAAAGAAAATAACCAAAATGTTCTATCAATAAGTGTATCCAAAAAAACAACTCTTCGTCTTTCATATGTGCGAAACTAATTTTTTTATTTTAATGCTCAACTTTTTTTATGGAATATAAACTCTAGAATATCCTTCAACTGTTCTTCGACAACACGGACATGCCCTATAAATAAATAAATAACAAATTTTTTAGTTATACTAATAATAGTAATGTAATTTTTTTATAGTAATTAAAAAAAAAAGTACTTACTTAAATTTCCGTTGAGCCATCATTTCACGACACTAAATAAAAAAAAAATCATTTAAAAAAATTTAAATATTTAAATATTAAAAATATTTATTGATTTAAACAATCAAATATCACATACCCCGTTACAAAGTGCAAAACATCCACATGGTTTAAGAAGACATTGTCGAGTTTCTCCGTGACAAACTACACATAAACGATCGGTGACGGCTTGAGATGACATAAGTGGTTGACGACGTTCAGTTATCAATGACATGAGTGATACGGATTCGTCCAGTGATGAAGATGCCATATTATTTTGTGTGAGACGCCTATATTGAGTACGAGTGAGAATAGTAGAATGCATCAAATGTGCAAAGAATGAATGCATTATTGAAGAAGAAGGTGAAGAAGATGATGATGAAGATGATGTTATGGATGTTGAAGGTGATGTTATGGATGTTGAAGGTGATGTTATGGATGTTGAAGATGACGCTTGTTCTTCATGTTCTCTGAGGTCATTTCCTAGTAATAAAAGCTCATCACCAGGAATTATTTCCTCTATATCTCCATCATTTTCTGAATCTGTAGAATCTGATTCTTCAAATTCATTATTTATCATTTGTGAAGAAAAATCTTCATCATCATCTTTATCTTTATCATCAAATTCTCCATTAAGAAATTTTTGATAAATTTCCTCATCAATATCAATGTCCTCATTTACAGTACTATTATTATTATTATTATTATCATCATCATCAATTTGTGTAGTAGTGTTACTATTATTATTGTCGTTGTCGTTGTTGTTGTTGTTGTTGTTGTTGTTGTTGTTTGATGGTGATTGAATATAAAGTGACTTAATCCAATAGAAAGCTCTCAAAAGTACATCGACAAGTGCTTGAATGATTTGTATAACAAAACTAGCCCAAACTATTCCGCGACGTGGACCTCCATTAGATTCTGTAGGTGCTAATTCATTAGTGTCTTGTTGTTCATTATCAAATCCACAAGTTGGTTGTCTTTTATTTTTATCCGATGATCGAGACTTTTTTTTTTTTGTACGTTCAAATATAGTTCCCAAAGGAACAAATATTGGCGGTAATTCATTACGATAACCATCAATTCGACTCGTTTCTATAACAATGGTACCAATTCTGTATAATGCCATAGTATAATCTTCTTGGAGTCCAGGCATTGATCTAGCATCCAAGAAAAATGTTCTACGAACATTACCGCCCGTTATAACATATGCAATTGCATGAAGAAAAACACAAATAAAGATTATAGCAATCAAAGCTAACTCTGGAAAACGAGCAAAACTTTGAAGCATAGGATACGTATCGGATTTATTGAATAATGCGTACGCATAATGAACTGTGAAGATAAAATAAAGGATTAATAATAATATTAATAATATTTTTATTTATTTTATTTTTTTTTTAAAAAAAAAGAAGTTATTTCGCTTACCGATTCCGGTTATTCCTATAATGCTAGTGGGTATAAGCCTATATTGAATGCCTCTCGGATGAAGATATAACACTTCGAGAAGAAAAATATCGACGACTTCGAAAATTGCTATTAAAAGTAAATCAGTGTTCGGACTTCCTGATGAAATGTTACAAAAATAATGAAATAATAAAGCGTATTCATAAAGCGTTGTGCTTTGTTCTCTTCCTGGCAAACTATTTTATTGATGAAATGAATTGAATTAAAAATTAAACATTGCTGCGTCATTGTTACAAGATAATTTTCCTTTAAAAAAAAAATTTTTTTTTAAATTACCTTCTATTTTCTAGACTTGAATGGAAAGCTTTCATAATATATACAATAGCTAATGCCTTTAAGCATAGCCAAAGAGATTGATGATCGGTATAATCTTCCCCAAGTTCAATAATCCATTGTGAGAAATATGGTTGTAAATAAGCAGCACTAATAACAAGTCTCGATAAAAGAACAAGTGTGGATTTTGCCATTAGATAAAAACATGGTAATCGAATTAGTAATCGGGTTGTTTTTGGTAATGGTCTTGGGTTGCGAGGAGTAACGATTGCATTTATTCTATTATTTAAAACGTTCTATAGAAAAAAAGAAATTTAAAAAAAAATTGATTATTAATTGAATCTCTAATAATTCTAAAACATTAAAGATTAATTATCGCTCTAAATCAAAAAGATTGATTAATCTTACAACAAAGATTGCCAGGTACAAGTGATTAGAGTATAAAAAATTCCATATACTTGGTTGATATTCTCGAGGATCTAATGGTCTTCCACTACCATCAACTACTTCTGTACCCGGAAGCCACTTAATGATATTGTCCATTCCTTTAGACATCACCTCAAACATAAATTCCCACATAGATGAGTCCTCCAAAGTGCCTTCTCCATTTTCATTCATTTCTTAATCAAAAGAAAGAATGATTCGTATTGCAGTTAAATGAGTTACCGCTTCAAAAAAAAAAGAAATACTTTTACGCGAAATCAGTCGTCAGGAAAGAGAAACTTTATATATTTAGTAATCTTTAAATCATATTATTATCTTTGTTATGATTAGATCACGGGATCCCTTTATTGTTATTTTACACTAACCAAATGTAATTAAAAATAATTAAATATATTTCTTAAAATATTCAATGGGCATTATTAGTTGAAAATATTTAAAAATTCCGAATATCAAAGAATTACACAACACAATCATAATCATAAATTCACTATTTACTCCGGAATTAGGAATTATTAATTTAAAATTATTATAATTATTTTTTTTTTTTTAAAAAAAAATTATTATTTAAAAATTATTTAGATTCTTTGGTAATTTGAAAAATTCTTTCAACGATATCTTGTAAAATGTACAAATTAAATAATTTACTTTGAAATTCCTATAAGAAAATAAGAAAATATATTTTTTTTTAAAAAAAAAAATCAAATATTTTTTAAATGTTTTACATTAATAAATACTTATTCATACCCCTTGTTCTTGTTGCTGCTGGTTATTATCATCATCATCATCATCACAAACAGATATAATTTCTTGCTGCACTTCGGAAGAAGAAGAATTTTCTATATATATTAAATTTAATTATTATTATTATTATTATTATTTATTAATTGTTATTATTAATTATAATAAATATTAATTATAATAATTATTAGTTATTATTTATTATTATTATAAATTATTATTGACCTGAATTTAGTTCTTTCAAATGATTAAAACGATTCACTTGTTTAACTATAATTTCGGTACAAGTATCTTTCAATGGATCTAAAAATTCTTTTTGTGTGTCCTTTATTTGACTTTCATTCCAAACGCCTGTCTGAAATAAAAAATGAATAAAATAAAATATTATTAAAAAAAAAAAAAAAGAAAAAAGAAAAAACAAAATTCAAGGAGAAATTGAAAAATTACCAAATTCTTATCATCCCTCATTAATAAAAGCATATAAAAATTTAATCCATGCATGAGAAAACTATGTTTCTCAATAAATTCTTTTTCTAGTTCTTCAATTGAAGATGATGATTCATTAAGAATTGATTTCAATCGAAGAATGTGTGGAAAAAATCCTTCAATTAAATATGGACTTGCAAATACAGATAGTTCAAACTATAAAAATAATTATTAGATTAGAGATTATAAAATAATTATTAGATTAGAGATTATAAAATAATTATCAAATTAGAGATTTTAGAATAATTGAAAGGTTTAAAAAAACCAACCTCTTTCGATTTATCAGAATATGCTTCATTTAAACGTTGAATAACAATTTCCTTTAACATACCAATTGTTGCACTCTTCATCTGTTCGAATGGGCAATTGGTTAATAATTCTTTCAATAAAAACATTTTAGCATCATCCGTACATAATGAAATAATTCGAAATAATAATTGATGAGAATTAAAACGAAGTGATTCATCAGATGAAGTAGAAGCGAAAGAAGACAATGCCTAAATAAATAAAAAATAAAAAATAAAATAAAAATAAAATAAAAAATAAAAAAAATATTATTCAAAATATGAAAAGGTATCATTTAAAAAGAAACTTTTAATAATAATTTTTAATACCTGAAATAATGATGAAAGAGTTATTCCATCTTGGGTCAAGTTTGCATTTAAGTTAAGTATTGTAATGGTATTTTCTTCATTCTTGTCTGCCAAATACATTAACACTAATAAAACCTTATCAACTATTACATATTCATTCACATCACTTTATCAATCAAAAAAAAAATAAATAAATAAATAAAATAGAAATTTTTTTGTAAAATATATATATGAAAAATTGGGAAAAATCAAACATATATATATATATATATATATATAATCTTACTTCACAAGAACCTTATTTGCAATTGGAATAATCCTTCTAAACATTGAATCCGGGGAATCTGAAAATAAATTCTTCAAAGATTTTACATTTTCATAAATCATAAATTCATTATATATAATTGATGCCATATAAATTATTATTCCCCTTGAAGTAATAGGATAATCTGAAGTTTCAAAATTTGAAGTTTGTTTTGTGTTATCTGTTAATATGGAATTTATGTATTCAGACGTAATCGAATTAGAATCCTCCGTTTCAACCTCTTTGCTAACTTTCTTATTAGGCTTAAATTTTTCAAAATAATTTATAATTTGAGTTGTTGAAATTTTTGATTTTTTAGCAGCTCGCTGTGACATTATTAAAAAAGAAAATGGAATGTTAAAATCTGTAACACTAAAATGATCTTATAATAAAAAAAAAAAAAATTAATATAAAAATCTAATAATAATATATTACTTACAATTAATCTACTAATTCTCGATTGATCAACTGATTTGACATTTTCACTTTGTTTCTTTTTCCATGGAACATTAAATTTGGGATGAAGTTTTTCATAATAAATAGATGACATTTGTATGTCAACAGTTAGAAGATAATGCTCAAAAGACGTAATCAATAAAAATGTGATTAAAAGGAATTCTTGGCTAGAAATATCTTCTGGAGTTGGAGTAAGAGTTAATTTTGGTTCCTAATTGTAAACAAATTATTTAAATAAATTTCCAAAAAGAATTAACTAAATAAATTTTAAATATTAATTTTACTTTTTCAAAATCAATTGTTTGTGAAACTGTCTCCGTGAAATCAATCAAACTTTCAATTACAAGATCAAGATTTCTTTCTTGTAAGTTATCTAATTCTAACCATATTCTAGCAATATATCGAAGCGTATCAGAAAAAAATTTCAAAAACATATTACGTTTAAACTTTTGGAAAGATCTTTGAAAGGCTAAAATTGATTAAAATTGATATCGTTGAAAAAAAACAAAAGATAATAATAATAATAATAATAATAATATAAATCATAATAATAACAAAAAGAAAAAAAAAAAAATTAAATTACCAATTTTCAGAATCTTGATCAACCCAGAAAATTCGGGTACAGAAACATTGGGATTTTCCCAATCCAACAAACCAAGTCTTTCAAATATCATCGTATATGTTTCTCGAACATTATTTTGTGTAATTGCTTCAAGAATTTTTAAAGCAATTATTGATGATTTATTATTTTGTGATAAATAAGGTACAACCATTGAGAAAATTGTCCATGAAAATGTATCCAAAATTTGATTCTATCAAAAATGTATAAATTTATAAGATTTATTTATTATCTTTCAGTTGAAATGTTAAATATCTATTAAATGTATGTGAAAAGTTATATGATATGATACCTTATTATCATTATTATTAAACAAACAATTTAAAAGGTCGATTTGTTCTTGTTCAGAGTATTCAGAAGGATTTGACAAATGATCCTCTAAAGTAGCTTCAAATATTTGATAAGCTTTATTATTGTCCATGGGATCTTGTTCAATTTTCTAAATTAAAATTCGACTAATATTGTCATATCGCTATGGTCCCATTCTTTTTCTAAAAATTCTATAGGTAATTCATTTTAGAAAATACCTGAAGATATTGAGAAATTCCATTCTCAATTGCTTCCTTGGCTTTTTCTAAACGCGACATGATCAAAATTAATAAATCAAATGTCTTTGATTTAATTTATTATTAATTAATTAATTACAATTATTAATTTATTTATTTTAAAATATTTATGTAATCGATCGACGGAACACTTTTTTTTACTCGTGCAACGTTATCTAAAAGACGCGTCGTAAAAAAAAAAAAAAATTATAAATAAATGTGTTTATCGAGTTTAAAGTTTACTTTATTTGAGTTTTACTTAATTATTAGCTTCAACTCAATTAAAATCTTTATCTACAACTAAACTTTTATTTACAACTAAATTTTTATCTACAACTAAACTTTTGGCTTTTAGCTTAACTAAACTATAAACATAACAAAAAATGTCACCAAAAGTAACAAATAATCCAAACGTTATTAACACTATTGCACAACGTGTCAAAGAAAGAAGAAAAGTAACTTTAAAGGAACCAAATTGTTACTACCCAACTCCTTCACCATTAAAGAAATCAAGAAAACGAAAGGTTTACCCTGATTCCAAAGTATTTGATGACGACTCAAAAAGAGGAAGGAAATATACTAAACTTACTGAACAATTTTTGAGATGTAAAAAAGATGAGGAAGAAAATAATCCATCAATTTTAATTCCTGATGTTCAAGTTGAAGTTTTAGTCGATAATTCCGTATTTAAAGATAATTCTTCAAAGAAAAATTATTTAAAGGAAACAAAGGAAACAAAGAAAAGAATTCCATTAAAAGATTTTGGTTCAGAATATGATCGATTTTTTGAAGAGAATTCTCATTCATTACCAACATCAAAAAATATACTTCCTGATTCTAATATGTTAAATGTATCTCAATATACTGATATTATCAACAAAATTCCTCTTAAACATGAAGATGAAATTAATTTACTTTCTGAACAATATAAAGAAAAATTTATTTATTGGAGTTCTGATCTTAAAAATGGATTTAACCTTTGTTTCTATGGATTTGGATCAAAGATGGAAATTATTGATGAATTTGCAAAATATTTAAATGAACAAATTGTTTTAAGGATAGAAGGATTTGATCCAAATTTCAATTTTCAAACAACTCTTGAACTTCTTAATGATGTTAATGAAATTGTTAAACCGAATTCAATTAGAAATATTGAAAATCAAATTACTCACATTCAAAAATATTTTTCAAATGAAAATCGTGAACATGAATGTTTATTTATAATTATTCATAATCTCGATGGTCCAACATTTCGCGATACTCAAAATCTCAATTACTTAGCTAAACTTGTGAATATATCAAATGTTCGTCTTATTGCAACTGTTGATAATATCAATTTTCCAATGCTCCTTGATCACGATCGTAGAAATAAATTTAACTTTCTTTGGCATGAGATTACAACATTTCGATCATATGATAAAGAAATAACACATGAAAATCTTTGTACTATCAAAAAGAGAAAGAATAATTTAACCACGAATTTAGTTAAAGGTGTATTATCTGTTTGGAATGAAAATCGACGATTAATGTTTAAAATTTTGGCAACTTATCAAATCAATCAATATAATTCAACAACTATTACTACAACACAAGTAATTGATGGTAAAAATATTATTACTGGAATGGAACGTAATTCATTATATAAAAAATGTTATGAAGAATTTATTGTAAATGGCGAGAGTAATTTTAATACATTTTTAAATGATTTCCATTATCATAACGTTATCAAAAGTCGAATGTCAGAACATGGAAAAGAAATTTATTACATTCCATTAGAAGCTGAAAGATTAAAAGAAATTTTGGAATCAAAAGATCTTTTTAAAGAATGATGATTAAAATATTTACTTTTTGACATTGTTAATTTTACTCTTGAAGAAATAGAATCTTTTTTTTTTTTTTTTTTTGCATTAGATTTTTCATTTTTAAAGAATCTTTTTAATAAAAAAATAATTAATTCCATTTCTATTTTATTTTTTTATTTCTTTTTTTTTAAAAAAAAACGTTGACAGTTCTTATAGATTTTTATTTTTTTGTCTATTCTGTTCTGTTATACATAAACTTTTATTAAATACATTGATGTCGAAGTTACAAATTATATTTTCGAATTTTTTTAATAATAATAAAGAAAAGTTGACGCTTAAAATAATAATTATAACTTTTAAATTTTTTTTTTACTGACCGCTTAAAATAATTATTCAGATGGATACAGCTAATCGTTTAGTCTTTAATTTTTTTGTTTGCATAATATTGATCTTAAATAATGACGTGGTTTTTTTTTTTTTTTTTTTTAATGGAGGCGAATCTCTTTGTGCCGATAAGGTTCTTGCTCTTGCTCGCTCACGGAGAAGAAGAAAAACAGGAGATAATAAAATTCATCCGATTTCTTTTAGTATTATTATTTGCTATCGATGTTTCACTCTACGCATCTCTGTTTCGAAGACGATATTGAATTTGCTGAAAATCTTGGAGATAAAAAATTCTCTCATAAGATTTAATTCTTAAATTTTTTTAGTTCGTGACATCGCGTTGAAAAATTATCGTTAATTCAAATTTTAATGAATATATATATATATACAATAAAGATATCTCTAGAGATATCCATATTTGTAAAAGTTTTTTTTTTTTTTATTGTACTATATACAAAAATTTAATTTTTCGAAAGGTAAATTTCAATGCATTTGAATCGTTTATAGTTGTAAAAAATAATATAATAATAATAAATTTGAGCTCATGGATGAAATGATATGACGCAAAAATATAAATATATATATTATTTTTAAATGTTTTCTAATAATGTTACTATAAAAAAAAAATTGTTTTTTAATTATACGTAGCATATCCAAAGCCATAATTTGGAGTATCAGGAAATTGCTGTGATATCGAATTATAATACATATCATCGACATTAAATGTAAAATCATTGACAAAAGGTTTAACTTCATTGATATTGAATGTATTGTGTAAGGTGTTCTCGGGACTTTGAGTATAAGGAATTTGCTGCGGAGATGAATGCGGTGGCGTAATTGTTTCATCAGGTTCGGGACTTTGGGCACAAAAGGTTTCAGGACTGTGGGTATAAGACATTTGTTGTAGAGAAGGTGATGCATTCTGTGGTGTGGTGATCTCTTCAATCTCTGGATTTGGGTGTTGTGAAGACAATAAAGATGTTTGAAGTTGTTGTGATTGTTGTTGTTTCTGCTGAGCGGTTTGTTTTTTCGTAGTAGCTTGACCACGTCGTTTTCTCTCTTGAGGTCGGCGAGGTCGGTATCGATATTCTGGGTATTTCCTCATGTGCTCTTCTTTGGCGGCTTCTGCCATCTTCTGAAATTTATTACGCTCTTCCATCGATTCTTCGTGCCACATCTTGCCGATTTCCTTTGATACTTCGTTATTAGTGATCCCTTGATGAGAAGCAACGATTGATGGTTGTTTTAAACGGCGATATAAAATAAAAGCATTTGGTGGTCTTGGTGGTTTCTTGTTTTTGCCGTTCTTAGAGGAATTATCTTTCTTTTGACCATTGACGCCACAGGGTAGAGCAAAGGAAGGTAGGCAAATATCAGTGTCAGGTAACATTCGTGGTACATTTGGAACCGTTGAGACTGGTCGAGAATTTTCTAGTAAGTTGGCTACTGTCTCGGCTTGAGAGTCATTAGGAACTAATACTGGTTCAAATCCTTCGGGGATGAAGTAAAAATGTCCTTTTCGTTGTTCATATAAATCTTGAATTTTATCATATGAAAAATATTCAAAATGTGGAATTTCCGGTTCACCTCCATAGGATTCTGAGGGTTTCGGTAGTGATGAAAGTGATGAAGGTGGGTCATGTTCAGGGAGAGTTGGAAGGATAATATTGGTGGAGGAAGACGGCGCATAAGAGGAAGGGGAAGAAAGAAAAGGGACAGATGAAGATGAAGAAGAAGGAAAGGAGGATGATGATTGTAAAGAATAAGGAGAATGAAATGGATGATAAAGTCCTAACTGCTGTTCGTATAAATTTACGAAATTATATGCGTCATGAGATGACATTGTGAAAAATGATTCGAGATGAAAAATAAATTTGATTATAATAGAGAAAAATTGTTGGTTATAAAAAAAAATTCGCTTGTTATATTACGAATAAAAAATATTTCAGTAGCAGTAGTAAATTCTTTATTACAGGAAATAATTTCGATGTTTTAAAATGATTTAGTATTTTTAGATTAATTTTAAAGGTAAATGTTTATAATTCAAAAAACTTTTCGAAAGCCAAAAAAAAAATGGTTCTTTTTATAATAAAAAATACAATGTAAATAAAAATCACCCTTGATTAACCGAATATTGGGAAAGTACTGTAAAAAAAAACGAACTTTTGATTCTCAAATTAGGTAAATAAATAATTTTAATTTATATTAATAGCTTATTTAATATTTTATACTAGATAGATAGATTATGAAAAAAACGTTTACATTTTTAAAATATATATATGATATGGGATCGACTTTTAAAATAAAAAATAAATTTTTTAACATGACTAATATATAATTATAAAGTATTCGGCACCTTGTCACCCGAGGTAAATTAGTGTGTATGTGTAACATAAAGGTGAAACATTTATTTTTCAGATAATCACCTCATATTGGATTTACAATATGATACTTGAGAAATGTAATGGATTTGAATTTATCACCAATGTCTTTTTTTTTTATTTCTACGAAAGATAAGAAAGATAAGATAGAACATAACATATTAATTTCTCATCTAAAAATAATTAATACACGATATAAAAAAAAAAAAAATTATGTTTCCACAGAAGTAAAGATAACATCCAAGATAATAATCATGTGCATCTTTGAATAATACTTCGCGTTCATTGTTAACAAATATTGTTAATAACATTGCTAATTAGCGTGTGGCATCTGAAACTTATTTACTTTTTTGCATAAAAATATCAGCCTAATAGACTTGATGTATGAAACAATATTTGTAATTAAACGCAATATTACATGTGGAATCTTAAGTGAAATTTATTTTTTATGAAGTAGAAATGGAAAATAAAAAAAAAAAATTTTTTAAAAAAATTTTCTAAATATAACAGGCAAAATTATTGGAAAAAATGAGATGAATCAATTGGTTCAAAACCTAGAAGAGATCTTTGGGGGAAATAAACAAAAAGTAAACCAATCACTAAAGTTCACTTCCGCCCAATTATGTCTTATAAAGCTGTATTCGCATGATAAAAAATTACGTGTGTAAAAGTTTAATGGGGTTCGAACATTACGTATGTTTATGAGAGAAAGAAAAAGAAACTCTTTATTACAATCTGACAATGATACATTGTCAGAGATTTCATCAAAACAATGTTACTAGTTTGGATCAAAATTTACAATTATTGTTTTTTTTTCTTACATATAAATGGTTCCAGAAAAGTAACACTCTTCTTTAATTATCCAGTCTTTATTGAATCGAGTATTCGAAATCAATGCAAATCAATTCTGTTTGGAACACATAATGTAGTATGCTGTAATTCGGATAATTAATTACGAATTAGATTAGAGAATTTTATACACAAAGAACACAAAGAACACAAGGAAGATAAATTTGAAATGCTAGAATATTCCAAAATGTTAAAATTATAAACAGATGAGATCATACCGACAAACAAGTAAGCATAAATTCATCATATTTTTTTATCCTTTGTAAAGGAAGAATGAAAAGAAAAGTTATAACAACAATAATAATAATTTCTTAAAAACATTATATTATCCATTGCATCAAGTCTGTATGCATGAAAAGTTTTCAAATATGATTGTTTCTAAATATATATTAATTGTGATGTTTCAAAGGAAATAGATATCATTTTAAAGATTATACGATATACGACTCCTTGGTTTTCCAAGAGTGAAGTGTTAAATAATGGTATTACCCAAATTCTTAATAGAGTAATTTTGAAAATTCAGATAATGGGAATAATAATGAAAATTTAAGGAGCTCTCACAAACATTATTTTATCGAAACCTTGTGTAGGTCGCACAATGGATACATTGGATTTTAATGCAGTTAAATCTTAAATGTTATTTCTTTGTTAGACTAATTTAGAGAGATAACGTAAACGATGTGAAATGTTAAATATCACAATCACAATTTATCATTTAATTTTTAATCACACAATTATGTTATTAAGAGTTAAATTAAAATTTGAAGTATCGCAAGTTATTTACGCCAGAATTATTTGTGAATAAATGTAATGCGCCAACAAGTTTTTTCAAGTTTTTTTTTGTTATAATAATAATTATTAATAATTATAAATAATTATCTAGTTATTATTAATAATTATCTAGTTATTATTAATAATTATTTAATTATTAAATTAATAATTAATTTAATAACTAAATTTATAACTAAATTATTTATCAAAGTAAACTTTTATAGAATTCTCAATAGGTATATTTGGAATAAAACCCCCGATTTCGAAATAAAAATATTTATACTGTAAATAAAATTTTATAGAACGCCAAAAGCATAAATATTTATATTTACTACTAAATATTTCATCACTTATGTCTTTCCCCTAAGAAAAAAATTAATTGAAGGTAATGCAATACAAATTCGTACCCATTTTTATTTGGGCGTTTACTAAAATTATAACAAAACAAACAACCAACAAATAAATAAATTAAAATATACAAATATGTTAATGCAAAAGTAATTCAATTTTATTAAACTTATTAAATTACTATAATTAAAAAACATTAAAATATTTTGCTTTTTCATTTCTAAAGGAAAAAAAAACCAGTAGTCCTATTAAAGAAACTCTATTATATTTTTTCATATTATACTTTTTAATTGATTTTCGGCTTTTTTTGGATTTAAAAGTCGAATCATTGCTTATATTGCTTATAGAACACTTTAAATTTGAACGATTCAATGTAATCAATAAATGTGACTTTTTTTAAAAAAGTTGTCATCTCCAAATGGAAATTGCATTAATTTTTTATCATTGTAAGTCGGCTGTCCTAAAAAATAACTGTGAACAATTAGGGTGGCGTGGATTTCCTTTTAAGGGTAGTTAACGAACCATATGCATACACCAACCAGGAAAGCATGTGTCAGAAAATTCAGGCGGGAAAAGTTTGGATTTTTTATTTTTCATTGTATTTTTTTTATTTTTTTATTTTTTTATTTTTTTTGACAGTATGAATTAAATGCATCCAACAATAAAATTTCGGTCAATTAAAAAATTTATATTATAATACTTAAAATTATTTTAAAATTATTTTAAAATTATTTTAAAATACCAAGAAATTCGGAAATTATAGAAATACTTTTTAGAGAAATCCAGCAAGAACGTTTTTTATTATAAATAAAACAAGTTTCTTTTAATGATATATCGTTATTTCGTCACATACAATTTCTTCAATTTTTACTCTCACACATCTAGTAATATTCTTACATAAACGATATGTGCATTTTGTATGTTGAAGGTATTTGTTCTCCATTTTAAGAAAAAATTGTTTGTTTATTGATCTAAATTTATTTCTACAAACAAAAGTTTAATGGATGAAAATTATCTGATTATTCGAAAGGAGAATAAAAAGTATTAAAGTATATTAAAGTATACGAGAAGAACAATACGCGTTCAAAACCCCGTTTCCTTTTTGGGATATTGAATTAGTTTCCCCACATAAAAGTCGTGTGGTTGTTTGTTTACATATTCAATGATATTCATTATTCATTATTTATTCATTATTTATTCGTTATCGTTATTAACCGATATAAATTACCCCAAAAATTTCGGACTCAGGGGAGTTCCTCAACTAATAACTATTAATTATACATTATATAAATATTTATATAAATATTATATAAATGATTATCTGCTATCAAGAAAGTTGTAAAGAGTAATACCCAAACAATTAAAAGAATGCAAGAATGGTAATTTGTCAATCAAATGTTCATGCATGGTGACCTCATTGGCACAATGATGAATGAATAAAATGATAATTTATATTATTTATATTAATCATTCAATGGTCTATTTTACATACTATCAATTACACAATTGCCACACTAATTCGCACTAATTCGCCACATGGAGATCCACTCAACAATGCAAACTCCATCCAATGTGAGGAAATCACAATTTACTTTTATTTATATCATTATATGCTCAACTGCGTTGCACGACCTTTTTCATTTTTAATTGGAAAATCCTTACTATTTGAAATTCTATTTTTGATATTTTTTTATATTTAAACTAAATTAGGTTGTCTCAATTAATTTAAATTGCTAGTTTTACAACTTTAGACTTTTTAAACATACAATTAAATTTAGGAACAATATCTGTTTTTAAAAGAAATCACCTTTTTAAGAAAATTCCTTCATTTTATATTTAATTTTATTTACCAGATTCGATCAATCAATTAAAGAATTTAGGAAATTTAGGAAATGTAATTAATTAGAAGAAACAATAGAGATTTACAAAACCCTTTGTAAGTCTCTGTAAATTTTAATTGCGTTAAAAAGTAATATTCTGGGATATGAAGAGACAAATTTAATTATAAATTAAAGTGTCTCAGGGTTAAATTCTCAAGTCTTCACACTTAAATCAAATATATTAATTAATATATATAATCTACTTTCAAACCATTCAAGTTCTAATATAAAATTTATGTGAAAAGAATGTGACTTGTGATGATGGTTTATTTAATTAGCATTTGCAAAAAGATAGATTTGAACAATAGTAATTTGATAAATTGAATTCAACTATTGAAATTAATATTGTTTCTAAACCTCAACTCATGATTTTAATGCTCTCCGTACTTTCCGTGATCTCCTTGTCAAGGATTAATTTGGACCTGAAGAAAGAGATCAATTAAAAACGAAAAATTAATTAGTTAATGGTCAACTGTTATCTAGCTTGAAAATCCTTGAAACTTGAATCCTCATTCTTTCATGCGAAAAAAATAAATAACAAATAAAGTCAACAAGAGGATAAAATGAACAAACTAAACAACCATGAAGTATGATAAAATGCAATAATTAAAATAATTAATGCAATTATTTACTGTGCATTTATGATTTCTTTTCTAACTTACCTCTCTGGTCGTATGTTGATATTATGACGCCAAAAAGAGAACAATACGTGTAAATTTCAAGATAAATCTTCTAATTATCTTTGTTTATAATGTTAATACTGTAGTGAATCAAAATAACCAAAATGAACTTAAAAATGATAATAAAAACAATAAGAAATATATAAAAGGTAAATAAAAGAAGAAATTAAAACTCTAAAGACACGTAAATCATAACTTAAATAATTAGGTTTTCTACATTTGCTTTCTATCTCATTATCACTTTATATTTATCTTTTACACACATATGTAATAATTTTAAACTTTGCATAAACGTGTTGCAAAACGAACGAATGTATACCTAAAATAATCACCTGCAAATGAACTTTTTATTTATTTTTTTTCATTTTCATTTTATCCGATGTAATTAATAAAAAGTAATGCATACATTCACCGTTACCCCGTTTAGATTATAAAAAGAAGAAGTCTTCTTCTCTTGGTTATTGTTATTGTTATTGTATTCTTTAATTCGATTTCTATTGTTATTTAATTCTATCGCAGAACGTTTTCATTCTTTTTCTTTCACTCCTTTATTTTTTTTTAAATTACTTATTTATTTTTATTTTACATACTGTACTCAGCTTTCAACTATTCCTACTTTGGTATCTTAACAAGAATAATTATTAAATAATGATTAAAGATTTTATTCCTGCTTTTGGCTTTTCCAAAACTATTAAAAAAAAAAAATCCGCCCTTTCATTTTATTCGATTAATTATCTTCTCTTGTTGACTTAATTTAGTAATTTAAAATAAAGACAGAATGACATCATGTTATATAGTAATTTCGTTCTTTATATCTAATAATATTTAATTAAATAAACTCTACTCATTGATATAACTTTATTAGTTATATCTTTTTAAAAAAAAAAACCACGAAAATTATACATGCGGTTAATTTACTTCGACATTATCAATTTCCTTTATCGCGCCTAAACTTGTTTGTAATTTTTTTACTTCTAGTATGAAAGCCGGATATTAAATAATCTTTTGATTTCATTCGTTCCTTAATTCTTTAGTCTCATGTAATATCATATGTGTAAGTATTAGTTGAAAAGAAAATTATATTACATAATTACTAAAAAAATACTTTATCAAATATCAGATTTCGGTCCCTGCCACCATCTTTCATCAAGGATAATTAAGAGTTAATCACAACACATTAGTTTTAATCCAAAATGATTAACAAAAGTATTGAGTTTTTGCGTTATATATGTAACTGCCGTTTTTTTTTTTTTGTCGAATTAGGTTATTTATAATTATAAACCAGAAAGAAAACGTGTACTAATAATTAGACAAAAATGTTAAAGCATTATTATATAATGTTACTAAAGATGCCTCATTTCTTTATACGGATTAGAATACATTAAATCATCTTTAAATCACTTTTAAATTTTGATCTTAGTCAGTTCGTTATTTTTTACAAAAAAGGTTATGATTTTTTCCCAAATAATACATAATGTAAAATACGCAATGTATAGATATGAGGTATATGTGAAATATGTGAAATATGTAAAATATATGAAATATGTGAAATATGTGAAATATGTGAAATATTTGAAATATGTGAAATATGTGAAATATGTGAAATATGTGAAATATGTGAAATATTTGTATAGTGATATAATCTTTGAGTAAAGAACATTCAATTATTAATTATTCTTGAACAAATCAAGATGTAATCACTTGCTAAGGTTTTTTTCATTGTTTTTTTTATACACCATCTTGTATGAAAGATAATCGAAACAATTGGTTTCCCCACAAAAAAATCTTTGACAAATTTCTGAAAATTTCTCCATTTAGTTTAGTCGTATTTTTGACAGTTCATTAAAGGCGTTTTTCAGTAAACAATATGCAAAAAATAGAATGTGAATCATGAGGATTGAACAATAATTGATAAATTGAAACTGATTGTTCTTTCAATTAGATTTTTTCCACATGTCGACATTTTTTTATTTACATTTACACTTGTTATTATCAAATTCGATGTTTATTTTTGCTGCGATTTTGGCGTCTGAATTTTTTATTATGGTGTTTATTATTGGAATTACCGCAGTTGAAATGTTTCAATCAAGGCTAAAATTTGTACACATCTATAAAAGCCAGTTAGAAAATGTAGAAAATGAAAAAATTTCTTGAAATCCTTTCTTAATTTTTCGGAACAAAGTTTTCTGTCAAATTAAGAAATAAGTGTATTTTTTTGTTTTTTATTTATGTAATATGATATTATTTATGTAACCTTTCGAAGTGTCAAACTGCATTATTCCGCGTGAATTTTAATGCATTTAAAAAAGTATGGTACATCAGTAATAATTAATAAACTATTTTAAACTTCTATTGTCTCATGTTATATTATTGCATTCAATAATCATCATTCTGTTGTGTTGGTTTTGTTTTCGAGACCGATTTACTTAAAACTTCAAATAATTTCTTTTCTGTTTCATTTTTTCCCACATTCTTCTATGTATAATTTTGTATATATTAAAAAATTTTTGGGAGAGTAGATATTTGATGTTTATTTATTGAATCAAATAAATTAAAAATAGCATTCACATTCAATTCATTTATAAATAATAGAATCTTAGACAATATGAATTATTTAACAGTTAATATTTAATGTGCAACAAAGGATCTTCAAAACAATTTATCGCCCATACACACACACACGAATCTTACCTGTTTCATTTTGTTTTTTAAGTCATTTAATAAATTTTCTTTGGAAGTATTCTAAAGAACAAATATTATTAAACTTTCTCCTATACGGGGAAATATTTGAAAGTGGAGAATCTAATAACTGATTAATGAATGAAATTTGGACAATATAAAAATTATTAATCTTTAAATTTTGTATTATCTAATTGTAATTTGGAAATTATGAAGGGTCTAGACTCCATAATTCATATAATGATATATTTTTTTTAAATTATGCCAATTTAATATTTGTGTTTTTATGAATAGACAAGCAGCCGAATATTTATGCAATCAATCATCGTTCTTAGAAAAGAGAGTTAATTTTTAATATATTAGGTTTTTCACCCTAGAATTTTGCCCCTGAATTTTTATCATCAAAACGTCATTTAGATCAGCCAATAATTATCTACAAAAGCCAGGATTTTCTTACCACCTTGTGATGTTAAATATTGAATATCACATGATAACTTAAATGATTGTTCTTTTTATCCACGGGGGTACGATCTTAGTAAAACTGCGCCACATTTCGAATTGGACATATAGATTTTATGTCCAATTATTCAATTTAAACAATTGGGAATGATAAAATTGCCAACACTTGATCTTGAGTGATCCTATTACTAACATTCACAAATAATGACATCCCGCATTTACATTATTTTAAAGGTAACACTGTGAAAGAGTGTTGTTACCCCCCCCCCCCCAATGAACAATAATAAAAAGTTTAGAGAACGAATATTCACCTTGTATAATCTCTTTAATCATAACGAAATAAAGTTTGTTTCTTTTATAAAACAAATTCTTTAAATTGTTGAACTAACTGTTGGGCTAAGTTCTTAAATTGATCAAATTTCTACTCTTGTTTTAAAAATATGGTTTACACTTTTACCTTCCAGTGATCAAGGATTTCTTGAAATTTTTTTTTCCTGCAAAAACCGGTATTATGATAGGGTGATGTCTACAATTAAATTTTTATGTATATGAGTGACTATGTGTGAACTTGTAGCCATTTATGCTTGCAGATCTTATTATATATATAGGAAAGCTGATAAATTCACATTCTACGGCTTGTTTGTCTGGTTATAAACATTTGCTCACAGTAATCACTGCATTCACCAATTGTGTGGCCTTGATTCTCAGTTCATATCATGAGTGGTTGTAATTGAAATTCACCAAGCTGATTTGAGTCATGTTAAAAGAGAGAGAGATATGTGTTTCCCTCAAGATCTATTCCAATGTTTCGATAATATCACAATAAATTGTTGGGATTAGTGGTTTTCAAATCTCTATTTCATCTTAGGACGCTAATAACTCAACTAATATCGATGTAAGAAAGATGATTTTGTCATCAATAGAAAGCTTGAAATAAGAGCTTTCGAATGGTCTTAGAAACATCTTAATAAAAAATCACTTCCCGTTGCATCAAACCTATTCTCATGTGTTGATAATATGAGTTGCATTGATTTGCATATTTAAATATTGTAAATCTTTTAAGATCTTCAAACGTGTTATTTCTATCAGACAGTCATGTCCCTGCACAGATCAAATGAGGAAAAACAGGCAAGCACAACAAGGAATATTTACAAATAAGAAGATGCAATTTGTGTGCTGGTGGATTACTAAGTAAGTCTCAAGGCGAGACTTCACTGAAATAAAAAAGAAAATACTCTTGAAATTTTGCAAATTCACTTTTACCAATAAGGAAGCAACATAATTGTACCAGCCTATCACAGTCTTAACAAATTACATCAATTTATAAAATTTGGTAACTATAACAAATAATATAATTGTATTTTATTTCATTACTTATTATTCCATTTAACAACATTATTGATATTATTATTATTAACAATAATATTATTATTCCACAAGTGTTAATTCTTTAACTCTATTCGGAGCATATTCATCTTTATAAGTATTCCAAATATTATACAATTCATCAATATATTTCTTTTGTATTTCTAATATTTCTTTTTCTGTTGGATTTTCATTTTTATTAACAACAATTGGTTTACCAACTAATTAAATATAATAGTAATGATAATTAATAACTAATAATGAATACAATAATAATCATAATAATCATAATTAATAAATATTTACCAATGGTAGTAATTTGTCTTCTGTGCGGTAATACTCCAAAATTATCTAAATAAATTAATTAATTAAATAAATAATCTTATTTATAATTATAATTAATAATAATCTTATTTATAATGAATAATAAATCAAACATACAATTAAATACACCACGACCGTGGAAAAGTGGAAATGTCCAACCAGAAAGTTTCTGTACTGATTTTTGAAATTTCCAAATTTTACTGCCAGCAGGATTATCTGCTTGTTCCCATATATCATTTTCACCAAATGAAAATACCGGAACTAAAGAAGCTCTAAAATTAGTGAGTAAATGAGTACGTAAATAAGTATATATGAGATAAATTAAATAAATTAAATAAATCAAATAAATAAAATAAGATGAATTACCCATTACGAATAGCCAACTTTATAAATCCCAATCTTTTCTTTAAAACCAAATCATAAACACCTGGTCTAGCATTTAAACTTTCACCTGCTCCACCTACCACAATCATTATCGAATTACCCGGTCCTTTATTTAAAATATTTTCACATGATTGTCGTGATACTGAAGCCAATCCTTGAGCCATTAAATAGTCTCGATAAAGTGGAATGTTAAAATTTGAAGCGAGAGTTAATAATCGACAATTGATACCCGGAAATAATTTTGAAAAGTTATTTGCTTCCGTGGCAAAATTTGTCCAAGCTCCGACTGAAATAACTCCATGTGGATGATATCCTATAAAAATAATAATAATAATATGTTATATTACAAAATATATATTATAAAATATATATTAAAATAATTATATCATTTTTATATTATTATTACCAAAAACATAACTCTTTGAGGGATCCAAATCAGCTTCCTAGAATCAATTAAATAAATATAATTAAACAATAAATAAAAATATATAATAAATATAATAATTAATAGTTAAAAAATAAATAAAATAATACCTTTTTTAATTTTATGGGATAATATTGAGAATACCATTTCCAATAACTCGCGTTTCTTGCAAATTCAAATCTTCTTCCTCCATTTTCGGGTGCAATATCAAATAATACGAATAATAAATATGCAATAATCCAAGGATAAAAAAAGAATACCGTGCATGATAAAAAGAAAACAAACAATGTTAGAGGTAAAGAAGCAAGCCACAAAAATACTGTTGCTGTTTGGCGTCGTCTGCTGAACGGTACATTAAATGGTACTATTTGTATTTTTGACATTTTTTTTTTTTCGGTCAATATTTATATCGTTCTATCTTTGGTTATATAATATAGTTATCTCTTTTTCTCTTTTTATATATTATATAATTATATCTTTGTTATTTATTATTTATTTTATTATTTTTTTTAATGCCAAAGAGATAAAAAAAAATAAAGAGAAAAATATAAGAGGAGTAAGTTTTCGTTTAAAAAGAATATTTATTATTCATATAAAATATACATAATTATATTATTTTTATATATATAAAATTGATATTTATATATATATATTGATATTAATACTTTTTTATACATTTTTTATCATTTTTATACATTTTTCTATAATATAACGTAAATGATATCAAAGATAAAGTCATTATATTTATTATATTTGAAAGTCCCATTCTCCTTTTTATTTGTTATTTTAAGCAGGTGATTTTCACACTTGTTTTAATTGAATTTTATTAATTTAGGGAAATTGGGCGTTTATAATTTTATAATTTTGTAATTTTGTAATTTTGTAATTTTATAATTTATAATTTTATATTTTTTATATCAAAATAATTTAACCTATGATAATTTAATAAACTATATCAATATTTTTTTAGTGAAAGGAAAATTTCATAGAAATGGAAAAATGGATGGTGAAAAAAATGGATGAATATTTAATTATGTAACTCGATCGTATATCTTGAATGAAAACCAGTTAAAATATATATAAAATATATATTGTGATATCTCGATTTATTACTTAATAATTATTATTATGGAGAACTGGAAATTATTATTTTTTTTTTTCCCATAATAAAATTTTCCCATAAATAAAAAAAAATCTGCCACAAGTTGAAACATAGCTTTTTGGATCTCATGTGAAATTCATTGAATGAACTTCCAGATAGTGACCTTCTTAACAAATGAATGGCATCGTGTAACCCATTCAATTGGTCAGTAATTTTAATATTGATTATTTAATTAAATCCGAGTCAAAAACTTTAGTCCAAAAATGTTAAAAATATTGAATAGGTTAAAATATTTAAAATATCAAGAATCTTATTTATTATTATTATTATTATTTTTTTTACCTACATAATTCACTTTCCATTATAATAATTTAAAAAGAGAGGAACTTGACTGCTGATCTTCATGATCAACGTGATTGATTGATGTAACTGATTTTGAATATTTATTTAATTTTATATTTTCAAACTCATGTATATCCGTTGAGCTGCGTAGTTATGCAAAAATTAATTTCTCGTTACATAAATAATTTAATCCTCTTTTAGTTCTTTCCTATTGCCTGCGTTTATCTATTTATTACCTTAATTGTTTACCTCGGTTATTTCATTATCTGGATTCCATCATCAATATAAGTACGATATTTTTAATGCGATAATCAATTTTCTATATATATACTTTATCGTTGACATTTCAACCTCTACTTCTATAAAAGAAACAGTCATTGCAAAAGTTTCTCAACTTCTCACCATCCAAAATGAAAATAAGTTGACTGAAAAGGAAAGGGATAGCTTATTCAATCATTTTACCAAAAATAAAGATCAATTGCCGATAATATTGTTAATTTTAAATGACCTCAACCTCAACGATGATTATAAACTCTATTTCTTGAGATACTTAATCATGATTCACTCGAAGTGAAAATTAATATTTTTTTATATGCCAATATTCCAAACCTAAACTACATTTTCACAGTGATTTTTGTGCCTTACATATTCTTTTCTTTCATTTTTACACTATCAGATCTTAACGAACAGAAACTTTTCCGAGTAGTTATTCCCGTCCCTAAACTTATTTCGATTAAGACAAAGACCGCAACACAGTCAGTAACAAGAAATGTTCTTAATATACCAGTTCAGAAGTGAAACACCATCTTGCTAATGCCTTTAATGCATCAACAACCCTCAACACAAGCAACCATGTATTTAAAAAGCCTGACATTTTTTTGGCGCTTTATCTGTTGAGGAATCTGTTATTGATATGTTCTTGAAAACAATGGAAGCTATCAATAATGAAAGATTAATCAATTTACAACGAGGTAAACGTTATATGTTTAAAGGAGTTAAAGGTCGACCAGATGTCATACGCTGTAGTGTCGATAATAAGGAACTCTTGTGGAATTTAAAAGCATCTCAGATACTATCAACAGTAGAATTTAAAACCGAACAGCTAATGAGAACTTTGATAAAAGATGGAACTGAATTGTTTGAGGCATACAGCACAGCGTTGACAATGGAAGATGATGGAACAGATGAATATATTTGGCATCAAAAAATCATTAAGATCATTAGACAAACATTTGGATATATGGTTGTTAATGACATACGATATGGTTTACTTACGACATATATCCGAACATGGTTTTTTTTATCATAAACATGCAAATCCAGATGTAATTTACATTTCTCCTACGGTTTATATCAATCAGGGTCACACGGATAATTATGCCTCGTTCTCTGAATGTGTACGGTATTTTGAAACAATATCTACAGCAGACCCAATTGTGTATTCTTCACCACCTAATGAGGATGATGGAAATGATGATCAGCCATCGGGTTCTTAGAAAAAGGGCACTTTTAAGAGGGCTTTGGGGATAATCACTCGTAGTATGTCAAGAAAAAGTAAAGAAAAAGTGACTAAAGATGATGAGCTTCTCAAAAACATGAAAAATTATAGACGTAACCTAATTTCTTTTAGTGATTTGTTGGGAAGCGGTCGATCCGGTGATGTTTTTGCAGCCAAGTTTCATGAAAAAATAGGCGCTCTTAAAATGGTTGACTTGTATAAAAATGAGTATCTGGTAACCGAAATACTAAACGAAATTAAAATCTACCTTGGACCTCTCATGGATATCCAGGGAATTTTCATACCAAAGCTTCTAAAATATGGAGTTCTTCATGAGGCTTTTTTATTTATTTAATTTGCCGGAAGATCTTTTGCGGAGTTAGGAAATAATGTTACAAAAGAAGAGAAGAAGTTGGCTATTTTGGGCTTACAAGAAATACATGCAAGAGTGGTAAGGCATGGAGATGTCAGATTAGAGAACATAATGGTAAAGAGAGATGAATTGGTGGGTAAGACTATTGTGTGGTGGATTGACTTTGCGTGGAGCAGAATGAGATGTAACGAAAAAGGTCTGGAAACGTTTACTTGGTATGACAGATAAGCATGTATGTATTAAATTTTCATTTTGAGATGTCAAAGGTGACTAAAATTTCTGAATTAATTATAGGATACAATAATTAGTGCAATTCACAGTATATCAAATATGTCAAACATCTCAGCAATAGAAATAAAAGATTAACCAATAAAGTTTTCCCACTCACATTTCGGGTTTTGTCTTTCTAACATGGAATAATCGCAAAAAAGATTATGAATTTTAAGTAGTGAAAACATTCTAATTAATCAAAATAACATCAGAAATTATACACATTATTATTTGAAATTATATTTGGTTTTGACTTTTATTGCAATCGAAATATAATGATATAATGCATTTTCATGTTAGTCCGATCGTCACATATGGACAGATTAGACGGATCTTATTCAACATGGAATTTAAGAAGAAATATTGGATAGTAATAATTAAAATCGAGTCTATTATTTACAAACTCAATAATAAAAATAAAAATAAAAATAAAAAATTCTAAATTAAAATATTCACAAATTACAAAATTAAATCACATGCGATTGCCAGCAATCTGAAAAATATAATTATTCTATTCGTTTTTTGCCTTTATCAATATCAATATAAATCGATGTTAGATTATTTGTTTTCAAAGATTCAGGTAGCGATGGTAAATAATTAGAAGAATAGAAGTTGCAATCATTTATTTCAAATTTTTCATATTTTTTTGTAAGATCATTCAAAAGTTTTAAACATTCTTGAAGAGATGGCTGATGTTCTCGTATCAAAGATGGTGTAGGAACTTTTATTGATGGAATTATTAAAGATGGTGTCAGAGATAATTGATTAGAAGTTTTAGAAAGATGGTTTTGTAGTGTTTGTGGTGGTTGCGATGATTTTTTTGTGATAATTTCTTTCTTGGGTTTTAAGATGAGTGGTGGGAAATCAGGATTAGGATCTGTCTGGGCAGCTCTACAAATAAATTCTCTCTCTTTTTTGATTCTTTTGTTACGAGATCGAATACATAAAATAATAGTCGCTGTGATAGAAATTATAAATACCAAGCCAACAAAAAGTGAAATGACTAAAATAAGTTTATGAACTTTATGATCATTCATAAATGCGTCAAATTTAATATCTGAAGAGGTCATATTGGTAATTCCAGTATACATTTTTGTAAATTTACTTATTAACAAATTTAAGCACGAATAAAAGTTTGTTATTTTATACATTTTTTTGGAATGCTAATTTTCCACTAAACAATGGGATCACTTCATATATGATTAAATAATAATATATATAGAATATTAAATTTTAATTGTCTTTATACATACAAAATTATCAAGATATGTTTCGCTTATATATTTGATAAACCTAGAACCACATTAGAATAGATTCATAAAATTATTAATTTGATTATGATCATTTTATGTAAACAAACACTACCCCCTTGATTTGCTTGGAATTTAAAAATATATCTTGATATATAAATACGCGTGTATTGTATTCATCAATATTTATAATATTTATTTACCATCAGTAATGTCTTTAAACTAAACAAATTGAGTCGAGTCACCTGAAATACCTGGTCACACAAAGACATCAAACATTATGTTTAAAAGGTGTTCTTAAATGGTTTAAACGTATTTTTATTTATCAAGACCTTATACATCTGACCTAGTCAAAATAAACTACCCGATACACAGAGATATACCGTGCCCGATATTCCAAGATAAGAGTAAAGGTGAATTTAAGTTAAAAGGTATGTTATTTTAAAAGAAGTGAAAGAAGATAGGTTATTAATGTTAAAAAAGGGGGGAAATTTAATTCCCCAGTTCCCTTCTACAATAAAAACTTTTCTTTAGTAGTAAAAATAAAAGATAACTTAAAAATATTGTATAGTCTAGCAACAGATAGCTCGCACTTATGTACAAGAATGAGTATTCACTGACGAGATTACCCGTAAATAATACAAAAAGCGCAAGTCAGAAGTACTGGTGTAGAAGAAGCATTTTTATGAAAGATTCTGATAATTTCTTGCCAAAAACATATTTTACTTTAAATTGACTATTTATTACAATATAATATAATATATATACTATGTATTCTTCAACAAATTCGTGGAATCTTGAAACCTTTTCAAAGAAATTTGATTATTTGTGGAAATTTATCAAAATTAGATAAATTTGGAGATTTCAAAATTACTAAACTAAATTCTGTACAAGTATTCAGGAACTACCTTTCAATTCTTTTTCTAATATCTTTTCTACTTCTTTCGGGAATATGCAAAGCCAGTTATAACATAAGAAAATATGTGCATTTTAACCAATAATTTAGTTATTGAAAAAACTTACATTGCAGGTGAAAGAATTGAAAGAATTGAAAGAATTGAAAGAATAGAAAGAATGAAAAGAATGGAAATGATAGAAATAAGAAATAAAAGAAGGAGCGGAAGTAATAGAAATTATAGAAATAATAGACGTTATAAAACTAAAAAATAAAAAGTTCGAATTTTTTATTATCTATTCTACTTATTTTATACTTATATATTAACAAAAAAGAAAAAAAAATTAATAATAAAATTAATATTTTTAAAAATTACAGTACAACAAATGTTATATCGTACAAAATTATTAAAAAAAGTTTATAAAGTAAATTTTATTAAAAAATAACGTCCAATCTATGAAATCACGCATTTCGGAGATTTGGAACGTCGCTTGTAATTTTCAATATATTTGAGTTGCTTGTTGTTGATTGCGCCTCGTCGTCTTTCGCGAATATACAAAATAGCATCTAGCGCGCTCATGCCAGATTCTATTAATGCGATCGCGACCAGAACTGGTGCTCTATAAGTATAATATTTCTCAGATTTAGAATTTGTTTTTAACAATAAAGATTTTTTTTTTTAATAATGTCATATCAACTCACCGTCCAAGCCCAGCTACACAATGACACGCAATAGTAGGTCTTTGATCTTCATCGACGCATTCTCCAAATCGCCTTTGAACAAGATCAAGCCAGTCGTTGACGATTTGGCTTGGTGGAGATTCACCATCACCGAACACCCAATCCTATTATAGTGATTAAAAATTTCAATTTAACTTGTGATTTTGATAAGAAATTTCTGATAAAGAAATTTTAATAAAGAATCTTACATGAACTTTCATTCCACGTTCCTCAAGCGGCTCAACGTGGTAAGTAGGATCGCATACGCGAACAACGTCAATCACATTGAACCGTTCAAATTCCTACAAGAGAATTTAAATAATCATATACATTTAATATTATAATTTTTTTTTTTTTTAGGATATATTCACATTTGGTACATTTGGTATAATTAATTTACCTGTATATAAAGAGCCAAATTGTTGTTCGATGGAGCGTCTGCGATCAAAAAACGAAGATTCTTGTGTTCAATAAGCGTTGGAGGGTTAATAGGTGACCTGTGTTGAACGGCAACCATTGTGCTGCCGGAACTTCGGTTAGCAGTTCGCATCGCTGGCATGAGGATAATTATTTTTTTATTAGGAAAGTAATTCTACAAATGTTGAAATTGGGAGCTTCCCAGTCCAAGACGGTAAACTTTGTAAAGGGGTGAAGGCGGTTTTAAATAGTTTTCTGTTGTTTTATGGAATGTAGTATTTCGTTCACATAATTGAAAAGAAGGATGTAGACAATCGAATAACTGTTTTAACAAACTGAGTTTACAAAAATTAATAATTTAAACAATGCACTGTTATAATTCCTTTGATAGATTACTAAATGTAATCCCAGTGCTTACTATGTAGTTGAAATTTCTGTCCCAAACCGACTTGGACGAGGCGACACAAAAGTCGCTATACAAAAAGCATAAGCTTCACCTTTGACTCAAAAAAATATAAAAAACTGTATAAGGTGCCAAAAGCTTACCTCAGAACAATGTATTACGGTGATGTACTTGTATTGTATATGGTATAATTTCCACAGACGAAAAGATGGTACCTAGGCGGCGGAAGGTAAAACGCGACGACTAAGCAAACGGCTCGAACAGAAAGTTTTCAAAAGCTAACCAGGGTCAAACATAGGAGAGTGCACGAGTGCAGAGTAAGCTGCGGGAATCAACTTGGTGGCACAGATTGGGCGAAGACGACTTGATCGATATAGTTAAAAGGAAGAGTCTCTAGCCTAAATCTAGGTCAGAAGATTTGTTTGATTGACTTTTGAACTAAATAAAAAGGTTAAGAAAATAACTCGAGGAAAAAAAAATTTTTTTTTAAGAAAAATGTTGAGTGGGTTTTTGCGTTGAAATAAGACAACACAAAGAAAATTCGGGAGCAAATTAAAAAATTTTTTTTTAAAAAAAAATTTACGATTTTGGTTGTCACGAGTAAATCAAATTATAAGAAATTTGATTGGTAGTAATGGAAATGAGGAAATGACCGTTATTAAACACATTGCATAATTAAAAAAAAAATAATAAAATAAATAAATTAAAAATATTTATTATATACAGTTTAAACAAGTTTATAAAAGGACTATGACAACTTTTAAAGGAAGAGATACAAAGATATCATTTCTTTTACAGCCAATTCTCAGCCCAAAAACTATAGATTTAGGGATACAAATTGCTAAATATAAGCACCGCGTGATAACAAGTAATAAAGAAACAATAAAAATAGTAACTCATATTCTGAAACCTATACGACATATTGATATCACAATATCACATGATATCTATTTGTCATTTTTCAAAATCATCTCATAAAAATCCATAATCTTTTATATATTTGCGTCGATGTATTCCCCTAAAAGACGAGGAGATCGACACGGTTCTATTTCAAGTCGTCAATCAACCAATCAAGACTCTAATCCCTTAGAAGAAAAGGAAGATAATTCTTCAGAAATTATTAAACCTAATTTTGGATTATCTGGAAAACTTGCTGCAGAATCAAATAAATACAACGGAGTAGCTTTAAAATATCAAGAACCACCAGAAGGGCGAAAACCAACCAAAAGATGGAGGTTATATGTATTTAAAAAAGAAGAGCAAGTGGGTAAGTTCGAAAATATTAAACATATTTATTCCAATTTGTAATGAATTATTATATAAAATAATTAGATTCATCACTAAAAAATCAGTGAATGCGACCTCCAATGGTGTTCCGTCTATATCTTATCCTTTAATAGATTGTCTTCATATCCATCGACAGAGTGCTTATTTATTGGGTCGTGACAGAAAGGTCAGCACATACATATATATTACTAAGACACGATATTTAAATTTATATCGCACACACGATCTAATTTATATTTACAATTTACATCAAATAAAATTAGGTAGCGGATATTCCCATTGATCATCCTTCATGTTCTTCACAACATGCAGTCTTGCAATTTCGACAAATGACTTTTACTGACTCAGAGACTGGAGAACAAAAAACGGATATTAAACCATATATAATTGATCTTGAATCATCAAACTCTACATTCGTTAATAAGAAAATTATACCTACCTCAAGATACGTGGAATTGCGAGCATATGATGAAATCAAATTTGGTTTTAGTTCACGAGATTACGTTTTGCTTCATGACGAATTGGCGGATACTGAAGACATATCAGAAGTGAAACCTGTGTAAAATTTTGTTTGAATCCTTGAGAGTCTTTAAACTAAAAATATAATTCATTTTCATGCTAGATTTTGAACTTAGTGAAGGTTTTTTAAAAAAAGTTGAGTTAATGGGATTTCTTTTTATATATTAATTATTGTTTCAAATTATATTACATAAAGTAAATCCCAAAGGTGTTTTCCGGATTCATTGGACAATCTCAAATAATTTGTTTTTATGGAATTTTTTGTATTATTTCTTTAGTTCAAGGTTGATCCAAAGTGAAACGTGGTGCAAAAAGGGATAAAATATCACCAATAAATCATTTTTTGAACTTCCCTAAGTTGGTTCAAGATATTGAATTTGTACCATCCATTTACACTCTCAGTTATTTATATTGGTTTGTAAGAAGCATGTCAAATAACTTTTGTCAAAAACCTTTTTAATTTCAATGTAATATCCTTTTAAAATACCAAGACAAATGAATTATGTAACGTGAAATTTTGAGAATTCTTATAATTGATATTAGATTTTGGAATTATTAAATTAATTGTTATAGATACAGGTTGAATGGAGTGTATAATATATACACAAGTGAAGAAAAAAAAAGAATAATAAGATAAGTTAAAGGACAAGTTTTGTTTTAAAATAGGTATTTTTTTTTTTTGTAAAATCCTTCTTAGGTTTATTAATTATGAATAAAGGTAAATTTAGATTACTTTGAGAAGAATCAAAAGTTAGAATGAATTTCTTAAAAGAGACCTTACCAACCTAAGTTAAAGGTCAGATGGAAATTTATAAATATGTATCTACAGTATGTATCTTATTAATTAAGTATATAAAAAAAAAACAACTGACACTTGTAATATTTGATTGATAAAATTAAGCCAATATCAAAATATTATGGTAAAACCAAAAACAATAATGCCAATCAAAATTATCACTAATAAAACATCCAAAAGTATAATATTATTTATTCAAACACATTCACAAATTATATATTTTAATTGGTGATTCAGATATGATCGGCATAAATTTATTATTATCAAAATAATTAAAATAAGAGAAAGTGTCCTTAAAATAGACCCATACAAATTTTTAATGTCGCTTACACGTGATAAAATACACATAAACACTTGGGTCGTGCTTGGACAGAAATTTTACTTTTTTTAAAAAGCAAAAAACGCAAAACTTTATTATAAAGCCTATCTTGATCCAGAATTAAAGTCGTTCAAAATTGATTTTTTAAAGTTTCAATATATATTTATAAGCCAGTTAAGGGTACGGACGGCGCGGACGACAGTCAAAAAAGAACATGTAAAACGTATAACTCTGCCTGAGTCCAGGATAATTAATTAAAATATCAAAAATATCACATTTTTTTCTTTTTTTGCTAATTATTATTTAGTAAGTTTCTTAAAATCGAACCTTTACTTTCTTTGCCTATCCCTTTCGATTTCTAATTTATTTTATTCCTAGCAAGATACAATGAGAACTTTGAGAAAACACTTGGACAAAGGAACAATTAAGGTTGAACCTCCAACTCTTTCAGTAGTTTCGAGTCAAGCGAAAGCAATCACCTAAATAAATGATCTTTCTTTAAATCGAATCGTTTGACGATTAATAATAAAATTAATCCTTGCATAAACATTTAAAACAAATTATTTGTTTTGGTTTTAATTAACGGACGATTAGATTTCGGATTATGGCAACAATGGTGAAGAACAAAAAACAATTACGACAACTTAGATACGCTAAATTAGTGGCAGAGCTGGATGTTGCGCGGTTGGAATAATTAGTCAAGGAAGTGAAGTAATTGCGGTTCATTTCAGCGAAAAAAAGAGGCAGCATGAGAACCTACACCACCATGAGCATTCACATAAACTACTTCCGATTGTGCTAAGAACTGGGCTCGGCGTTATCCAATAGAATTAGCCGTTCTCGCTCTTTCTGATCAAAGTTCTAACTATACCCTTAAAATTACTGATTAAAAAAATTTTGTCTTTTTATTTTTGTTTTTCAATCAATTGAATATCTTAACAGTTTTTTTGGTTCTCCGTCCAGCGGCTTTTGTTTTTTCTTGTTAAGATCTTTATTTTCTTTAAATTTTGTGTTTTTTTACCCTTTTCTTTTTTTTTATGTATTTTTTAAGTTTTTATGTTTTTATCTCTTTTGTCGCGACAGTTATAAGTTAAGTGAAGCCTTTTGTTAAAATTATAAATATAAAAAACTATTTTATCCATGAAAAAAAATGTCATAAATTTGCAATTTTTTTATGAATTTAGAAAATACATAGTTTCCAAAGGCTCCGCCCAAGTAAATTACGAAGAGTACGTTAGGAAATTTGAGTTTGGAGAAAGTGGAGAATGTTATTTCTTGAAAAGATGAAAAGCATTTAATCGAATCGATTTTTTTTTTTTCATTTATGCTGCAAATCTTATCTGTATCACCAATTAAACTATTTGGATTTCCTAATTGGTTGATAAGAAAAAAAACAATTTCTCTCTAATTCATTAAAAAAAATGTCTCGACCAGTTGATTATATTATTGCTGGACTTGGAAATCCAGAACCAGAGTACGCAAACACACGCCACAACGGTTATTAAGTTCGCCTTGGATATCTTTCAGTGCAAACATTAATTTCTGCATTCACGCTTATTAGTTTTTAATGTTTTTTACGCGTCATGTTTATAGCCGGGTATATATTTATTGACTACCTTGCAAACGTAATGACACTTACCCAAGGAGAAGTTCAAAATCCTCCTGTATTTTATCGACGGATTGATTTGTCAGGTATAGCTTATTAGTCTATATTTTTCTTTTCGTTTTTCAACCATAATATTAATAGTAATTTTTTTTTTTGTACTCAGCTGATGTACGAGATACAATATTTAACATAACGAATGAAACTGGAACTTCCATAGGGTCGGTAAGTGTTGATGCATTGTAGAGTTCCATTATTGATTTCATTATGGATTCTTTAATAAAAATCATTTATTTTTTATAAATAGAATTCCATAAGAGTGATTTTAATGAAACCTCTCATTGCAATGAATGAATCAGGATTAGCAATACAAAAAGTGATGAGAAATTATAACTTTACTAATCTTAAAAAGTTAATTGTGGTTGCTGATGATTTGAACACACTTCCGGGAATATTGATGATTCAAGGTGAGAAATAAAATTTGATTTAATTTAATTGAAGATAAAATTTCATATCTTTTTAATCCTATAGGTGGAGGTGATTTGGCAGCTATGAAAGGTCATAAAGGACTTGAAAATATTGTATCAAAAATTGGTACCGATTTTGTAAGGTAATAATAACGTTGACAATTAATTAATTAATAATAATAATAATGATAACGATAATAATTATGAGATTAATTAAATTTTCTCGTTCAAGGTTTCGATTGGGTATTGGAAGACCATATTCAGATTCAATTTCAATTACACAATGGGTATTGGGTCAATTCTCAAAAGAAAATCGAGAAATGGTAAAAACAAATATAACTTTTTTAATGTTTGAATTATATTTAAATTTACTAAATTATAATAATTATTATAATTATAAAATTGTTTAGGATCTCTTTGGTCATCTTCTCCAATTAACCACTCAAGCATTAAAAGATTATAACATTCATCAAGATCTAAAACGAGTCAAGAAAAAATATGCGCAGGCAAAAAAGTTACCGAATAAATTGAATGAAATGAATAGTTTGATTTTTCCTGTTGATGTTCATGGAGTTTAAAATATTTATTATTATTTAATTATTTAAGTTATTAATATAATTATTAATCCAAATTATTATAGTCTAGATTACTATAAATACTGAACTCCGATTGATTTATTTGTGAACCTAATTTAGTGGATTTAAAAATAAGGGGTATTGTTTTCAAATGATACGCAGTTTTCAAATGACACAGTTACAATAAATATTTTTTTCTTTATTTTCGCATGAAAATTTATTTTAAAATATATCTTAGAACTCAGTGGGAAAATATATTAGAGGCCATAAAATAATTTAGCTAGTGAGGAGAAAAAATTGAATGTTATTTCTGTTATTTTCGTTATTTTCGTTATTTCCGTTTTTTTTTTTTATTTCTCCGAGCAAAATTTCCGATCTTCATTATTTTTATCTGCGCCCGAGGTTAAACAAAAACTATGCAATCATTCAAAAAGGCCCAATTTCAATTTGCTCCGCCAAAAAAATTTTTTTTGAGGGATTCGATCATTTATCTATGACTAATCTTTTGTCAAATGTTAAATGGCGTAGGGATTAGGCGCGGTCAATAGATGAGATCCAGCCACTTTTTGTGTAATACTTTAATTTGATTTGTGAAAAAATGGGGTTCTGTAAAAAAAAAATGATTGATTTAATAATACAATAAATTTAATTGTTAGTGATCCGGGCCATTATTTGTTGACAATAACGTATTTATTAAGGTCGGCTGGGCAGCTTGGATTTCTCCCTCTTCACTTTCCCTCTCATAACGAACTCCTATACGGATTTTTTAAAAATTATAGTCTATAAATATGTAAGTATTTTTTTTGATATTTTATATCCATCCATCTTGCAAATTATCCATCCATCTGGACGAAATATCAAAATCTAAAGGAATTTGATATATTATACATGATTAAAGTGAATTCTATTATAAAAAAATTTTATTCAATCAAATAAATTTGTGCTTTCTTATATTCATTTTCGCCGCAGTATTTCTTTTTTAAAAAAAGATTAATTTGATAGAATTCAACAAATTCCATTAGACAATTTATTATTAACAGTAAAAATTAGTTATATTTAAAACTCACTAACCGTAACCTTTTTACCCATCTCAAGCAATCATGGGTAAAGAAAAAATTCACATTAACGTTGTCGTTATTGGTCACGTCGATTCTGGAAAGTCCACTACCACTGGGCATCTTATTTACAAGTGTGGGGTAAGTTATATATTCTATTTATTCTTCTTTCAACCTATAACATAACATAAACTCTCATTTGTAAATATTTTTGTAAATATTTTTTGTAAATATTTTTTTTTCTATTGATGAGTCAATAACCCAAGTGGAATTTTTATTTTAATTCTTTAGGGTATTGACAAACGTACAATAGAAAAATTTGAGTAAGAATCTCATTTTATTTTATTTTTTTTATTTTATTTTATTTTATTTTATTTTATTTTATTTTATTAAAATTTTATAAAATTATACATAATTATAATTATATGATATTTTTTTTTTTATCCAATAGAAAAGAAGCTGCTGAGCTTGGTAAAGGTTCTTTCAAATATGCCTGGGTTTTAGACAAACTGAAAGCTGAACGTGAACGTGGTATCACTATTGATATTGCTCTCTGGAAGTTTGAAACTCCAAAATATTATGTTACTGTTATTGATGCTCCCGGACATCGTGATTTTATTAAAAACATGATTACTGGTACTTCCCAGGTAAATAAATTATTATTTTTAATTATTAATATAATATTCATATTAAATTTGTTTAAAAAAATCCTTTAATATGAGATTATTTTTTTTTTTTGTGTACATATATTTGGTTACTTATGATTATTATTTTTTTTTATTTATTCATTTTTCTTTATATAACAATTATATAGGCTGATTGTGCTATTTTAATTATTGCTGCTGGTACTGGTGAATTTGAAGCTGGTATATCCAAAGATGGTCAAACCCGTGAACATGCTCTTTTAGCCTATACCCTTGGTGTCAAACAACTTATCGTTGCTGTAAACAAGATGGACACAACTAATTGGTCCGAAGAACGATTTAATGAAATCGTAAAAGAAGTCTCCGGCTTTATCAAACGTGTTGGTTATAATCCTAAGACAGTCGCGTTCGTTCCGATCTCCGGCTGGCACGGTGATAATATGTTGGAAGAATCATCAAATATGACATGGTTCAAGGGATGGAATAAAGAAGTTAAAGGAGGTTCTTCTAAAGGAAAAACACTTTTGGAAGCCATTGATTCTATTGAACCACCATCCAGACCTACCGATAAACCCCTCCGTTTACCTCTCCAAGATGTATACAAGATCGGTGGTATCGGTACCGTCCCAGTAGGCCGTGTTGAAACTGGTGTTATTAAAGCCGGTATGGTTGTTACTTTTGCACCAGTGGGTCTTACCACTGAAGTCAAATCGGTAGAAATGCATCACGAACAATTGGTTGAAGGTGTCCCCGGAGATAATGTCGGTTTTAACATCAAGAACGTGTCAGTTAAAGAAATTCGTCGAGGATTTGTCTGCTCCGATTCTAAGAATGATCCTGCTAAGGAATCTGCATCTTTTCAAGCTCAAGTTATTGTCCTTAATCATCCCGGTCAAATTGGTGCCGGTTATGCTCCTGTATTGGATTGTCATACGGCTCACATTGCTTGTAAATTCGCTGAATTGCAAGAAAAGATTGATCGTCGTTCCGGTAAAAAACTCGAAGATAACCCTAAATTCGTTAAATCTGGTGACGCTGCCATTGTTAAGATGATTCCCTCTAAACCCATGTGTGTCGAAGCTTTCTCTGAATACCCTCCACTAGGGCGTTTCGCTGTAAGAGATATGCGTCAAACCGTCGCTGTAGGAGTTATTAAAGTAAGTATACAAAATATACAATATGATGCTTTGTATCAATGTATGTTACATTTATCGGTGTTTTATTTAAATTTTATTTATTTTTTATAGTCCGTCGAAAAAGTTGACAAAACAGGCAAGACCACTAAAGCAGCGGTTAAAGCTCAAAAGAAATAATAACGTCAACTTTTAGTAGAAAAATCAAATACTTAGAAAATTTAGTCAGGATGTCTATAATAAAAAAAAAAAGATCATCTTGAATTGATGTAAAAGCTTTATATAATAAAAAAACCAAAAAATAGTAGTTGATTTGATAATTCATTAATAAAAATAACCAATTTTGTCATTTTTCTGTATTCCATATATTTATTATGTAATCAGTAATAACTTTTAAATCATTATAGAGCAAACTTTTTTTTTATAAATTTTTTTTTATTTGATCAATAATGTAAATAAAATATCTATAAAATCCAAACTTGACAGTTCAGTTATTAAATGAATGATGTTTTAAAAACAACGCAAATTTCTAACTATTCCCTACTAATAATATAAAAAATAGCTCCTTACGATTTGTTCTTTTGTTTTGTATAAAATTTACAGCTTATAGTTCTTATAAATTCAAAGATTTTGTAACAAGAATTTTTACAATGGTCAAAATATATAACGATAGAAGTGCCAGCTAAAAAGTATCTTGGAATGTGACACGATAATGATCATATGATATCTTGTTTTTATTGATTGCTTGTACAGAAATTTGTTTCAAATGAATTTAATCTAAATGTCAATTAATATCAATAATAAATGCAAACTATCTTATATGGATTTATGGCGTATAACAAGAGCTACAAGTTTAATTAGAATCATATTTAATAGTTTCCAGTGAAAATTAAAAATGATCAAAATTATTAAAAATATGATTTGGCATTGTCACTATCTTTTGGAAGAGCAATTAAAGGAATTAGTAAATAAGTGGTAGTGGCAGGAATGAATTTGAAGTGGGAATGATGATAAATATTGGTAAAGGGATAATTATCAAAAGTTATATAAGTAATTCTACACTAATTTAAACTTTAAAAACAGAAAGATAAAATAATAATCAACTATAACAAAAATATCAAAACATAAAAGTATCAAAATATCAAAAAGTCAAAATCAAAAGCAAAATATCAAAAACAAAAACAAATTAAAATCAAAATATCAAAACATAAAAATAAAAGACAAAAATCAAAATCAAAATAATAAAATGATAACTCATTTTATAACAATTTACTTAATAAGTTTATTATTAATAAAAACAACTAAATTAACAAGTGAGCAAATAACTATTTTAATTATTAAAGAATTGGATTTAACAATTTAACAGTTAAGAGTTAATATGCTAATAATTAAAAGGTAGTCAATGGCTAAACTTTTACAGGATTAATTCAATAAAATTTTTATATAGATTCAAAATATGTCTTTTGGCTGTATCAATATGCATCTAAGTTTTACAGTTACATCTTCCAGATGTACTATATGTCTCCCAGGTGGATTATATGTTTCACAATTAACAATTAAACAAATAAACTAAGTTAAATAAATTGTAACTCCAATAATAATAATAAAAAATAAAATATGAAATAATTAATAACAATTAACAAAGAATAAGAATACATAATAAAAAGAAAATAAATAAATAAATAATTGTTAATAATAAAATATAGATAATAAATTTAAAGCAAGTTTGAAATAAAAAAAAATAATAATAATAAAAAACCGTAACAGCATTAAAAAATCAATAAATAATTACCAATAGTTGTCACATATAGAAGTTTATTAGTTAATAATAAAATGTCAAAAATAATACTAAGCAAGCTTAAAGCCAAAATCATAACGCATCTACCTTAAAAGTTTCATATCTATTCCTTAAGAATTAAGTGAATAATAAACGTTTAAATTTTATAGAATAATTTTGAAACATTTGATATTTATTTTTTTGATTGTTTAAAAATCAAATCTGGAGGCTGTTGATCTTTTTCAAAACCATGCTTAATGGCACAGCTATTCACAAATTATTTAAAATAGACAATAACACTTTACATGATCTTTTATTATAGACATCCTGAATAAATTTCTAAGCAATTGACTTTTCTTCTAAAAGTTAACTATGAAACTGCCCAATAATATTTTAAGTTTCATAAATAATTTTCTCACAGTTTACATGATTGACAAAATTTATATTAGATTTCAGATTCCCAGATTTAAACTAGAGTTCTTATCACTGTGCCCCTTTCCGATTGTATTTTTGTGTCACGGAGAGTCTATTTTATACATTGTCTAATTGGTGAATTCAAAAACTCCTAATGTTTCAAATCTTAAAGGACGTGGCTAACTAAATATATTTTATTAAAAATCCTGGAATCAAGAAATCAATCTCTTGATTGCATTTGCCTATCTTAGATGAGGCAAATCTGTGTTACGATTTTGATAATTGCCCAACTAACGTGACCTTTCAGTTGATTTTTTTGATTACGATATGAAGATAATATAAAAAATTTTTGATTGGCTGTTATGTACATACAAAAGTTCAAGATAAAAATTTTAAAGTTATTTCCTCTTCCATCCATTTATTCCAGGTAAGCCATCCTAAACATTGCCTTTACTCCCCTCTTTAGCATAATTACAACTATTCTCCTTTGTAACTCTTCATATTAATTATAAATTAAAATATTATGTATTTTCAATTTTCAAATTAAATGAATATTAAATAATAATAATGAAATGAATGAATTCAATTTATTAACTGAAATAATTTGGGTGGAATTACTGTGATTTTTTTTAGTAAAAATGGTCAATCCCGTTAAGAAAACCAAGATTGTTAAGAAACGTATTCTGCCATTTAAAAGGCATCAGTCTGATCGTTATAAATCAGTAAAGGTATGTTTAAAAATTGAATCTTATCGTAACATAATTACATAATTTATATAAATCGGGAAATTAAAATTCTTTTTCATATAAAAAGGAAGCATGGAGGAAACCGAAGGGTATTGATAATCGTGTTCGACGTCGGTTCAAAGGTCAACGTCCAATGCCTAAGATCGGTTACGGTTCGAACAAAAAAACTCGTCATTTGATGCCTAACGGTTTTAAAAAGTTCCTCATTTCTAACGCCAAAGAATTAGAATTGTTACTTATGCATAATAAAACATATGCTGCTGAAATTGCCCATAATGTGAGTTCAAAGAATCGGATCGCAATTATTGAAAGGGCACAACAATTAAATGTTAGAGTCACAAACGCTAAGGCTCGTATTAGAACCCAAGAAGTCGATTAAAAAAAAATAAAAAGATCATACGGAGATTGAACTTTTTTTCATATTTTTTTGAAACACTCTTTTTAATGTATTCTGTGAATTAAAAAAAAAAAATTTTCTCATGGCAAAAAAAAATATATTATATCAAAAATTTCCCATAATTTAATTTATCATTTGTTTTCTCATTATAAAAAATTACAATAACTTTATTATAAAAATTATTGAAACAAAAAGTGACTATCTGACTATCTAGTGATACTCTTCTAATGACAACTTCTCTTTTATTCTCTTTTTAATTTAAATAATAATTAATGATGATTATTTCCATTATGACCATTTTCATGACCGTGTTCACCATGCTCCCAAGGATGTCGTAAACCCTAGATTTCGATGAATAATTTTATTATACGTTTTAAATTTTAACACCCTCGAATTTGGTTCAAAAGTTATTTTATGAACATACCAAAATTACAGCGCCGTCTTTTTTTCCACGATACAACATCCCTACATGAAATAGGAAAAAAAAAAGGAATTTTAAAATTTGAAATTTATTGGCTGCCAACTTATAATATGATAGTTCGTACAGAAAAGCATGGTCCCTCCTAGAAGTTTACTCAGATAAACGTATCCTTTCCCGGGATGTGGAAAAGGTGAACCTGCCATTTATTGGTTTTATTGATAATTCGTTTAGAAAATGAAATGAAGTTTTTTTTTTGTCGAGTCGAAATGCTTGTCGATCAAAAGATCTGATTGTCACATGCATTTAAAAATCTTTTAAATCTTTTAATTTCATATTTTTAAAAAAAAATTATTTCTATATATCAAGTAATTTTAAAATACAAACGTAAAGATTCAAAAACTACAGATCTCTGATATGCTTATTACAAAAAATAGAGAAGGAAATAAAAACAAAAGATGTTGATGTAGATGTTAAGTAGATTGGGTTGAAATTTATCTTAGATTTTTCATATTCAACATATTCATCTCAAAAAAAGATAAAAACTTTTCAATATAGTATTATAAAAATGTAACCAACATATTAATTATATTAATGTGGCACATTGACAAACATTAATTTATATATAATGTAATAATGAATGTAGAGTAAGTAAATAAGTGTTCATGTTCAGCAAAAAAGAATTTACTTCATTGATGTTATACGTTGATTATTTCAATGATTTCAATGTATTTGGTAATTTCCTATTTTTTTCTTATTTTAGATTTAATTTAATTGAAGAAATAATAATAGAAGTGATTACAGCCTGAATGAAGAAAAAACGGGACAAATTTTATCAAGGATTTTTATAGAATATAATATAATTAAATATTTGATTGATTTTTTTTTTTGCAGTGAATAGAAGATAATAATACTGGTTGAATGAAAAAAAAAACCAGACTTTTTATTTATAAATCATTTAAATCTTTAGGACAATTAAGTAAAAATGAGAAAAGTTAGTATTATTTTTTATTTATTTTTTATTTTATTTTGTTTTTTTTTCTAATAAAACCTTTTTAAATTTTTATCTTAAAAAATATAATAACACTACTATTGAATATCTCATTATATTAGAGGAAAGGAGGAAAGGTACAATTTTTAACATGCACCTTTGCTATAAGGTTAACTAGTTATAGAAATATTTTTAATTTTCCTTTCTGGTTACAAACAAGAAATGTTTTACAGAATTGTAATTACGTTTCCTTATAACAGATAAGTTGATATTACAAAATGGGCGTTTCTTAATCTGTAAATCACGCTACCCCTACTTTAAAATCATCTGATCCGAAAATGTTAAGACTTTAATTAGGGAGATTTCTTTACTAGTTAGTTTAGTTCCATTTTTCATTTTTCAATTTTCATTCATGTGATTTTATTAGTATCACGTTTCAAATGTACGTGTCACATCATCGAGGAAAATTCGCGACCAACCAATCATTAAAAATACTACTTTAACATATAAAATTTCTCTTGGAGGCGTTGTTACGCTTTGCCATCACTGGGTTGTCATGCTTATGACTTGCTGATGGGCGTTCTCATTGTTTGTTCCTTCGCACAACCTGTCTTGTCTTTCTTTTTGCGTCTGCGTGTGAATTCTGTGGATCGATGTTATAAATGAGTTCCCAGTCCATACCTAAATAAACCCCAGAAGAAAAAAAATGAATGACACAAATTAATAAAATTTATATAAAAAATTCCTGTCAAATTATCATAGGCCAAAAAAAAATAAAGGGCTGATTTTTTTTGCCCAAATAAAAAAAATTTTGAGGTTTTTTCTTAGAAAAGCTTCCTATACCCCACAAGTGCAAATGGAAAACAATACCAATGTGTCTTTAGTTGAAGATACTCATCACAAGTCACCGTCCATTCAACAGACGACTAGAACGTCTCACACCACCTCTGAACTTGTGCATACACAAGCGGTGAATCTTTCCATGCCTTCCGGCGGGCCGACTCATCCCCTTGGTTCCCTTATACACCCAACCCCTACTTCAACACCACCCCCTCTACCTTCTATACAACAATTACAACAAGTCAATATTCAACAACCAATAACGTTTGTATTTGAAAGGTTTTGTTCTGGTGTTTCTACTCCTCTTTCCATGCACACACCGATTCCATCACCTAAATCGGTTGGTCGGTTAGACGATGACGCGACAGTTGATGCTATGGATACCAGACCGCCACGAAACCGCCTAACAATAAATACAACTCAAGGTAATGACACTGTTAAAAAGAATCGGAAGAAACGAAAGCACCAATCTTATAGGTCTCCTATGGATTCTCCAATTTCGTTGAACCGGGACGATGATTCAAAGTCAGATTCAGATTATGGAGATAACTTGTTGAACGAGTACGGTACCAGAAGTGAGGCATGTTCGGTGTGTCATTGTAGTTATTTTTCGTTTATCTTATTATTCATTGAGAAAAAAAAAAAAAATTTTTTTTTTTTCGATATTCACATTAATATTTCATTATTATTCATGAATTGCCGCAGTTTTAATAAAAAATTTTGAGCTTTAGGATTATTAATCTTATAGCTAAAAAAATATATTATTTTAAAAATTTGATTATTTGATTGAACAGGATTACGATATAGAAGAATCATCAATGATATCGCCCGTAGATGGGCTAAAGAGATTATTGATGCAATTTACAGCGATGTCCCCAATACGACTTGAATCTATATTACCAGTTCTTTTGGATAATGATATAGACGACCCAGAAATCCTTCTATTTATTCAAAGCGAACAATTTCTCCGCGATCTTCGCGGTAAAAACGGCTCAGAAATTAGCAGGGGTAACTGTTTGTTACTTTGGCACGGTATTCAAGAACATCGAAATTCGGCTACCGTTCATACCCCCAAATCTATTTCTTCATGCTCTTCTTCAACATCATCATATTCACCACCACCACCATCATCCCGAAACAGACCAGAAACCAATGTTTCATCAGTTAATCCACCTAAATCTAAAAGACAAAAATTAGACCTAATTGAAAGAGAGGAACATAATATGAATATGAATAATAATTTGAATAATATGAATTCTTCTCTATCCGAACGTCGTCACAATAATTACAGTAATCATTTTAGTAACAAACAACGAGTTAAAGCACCTAAACTCAGCATGTCCACAATAGAAGAAGTTCACATCCGAGTTGATTGCGTATTATCGGTAGTGGGTTCAGAAAATGAACGTCGAAAACAAATAGCACATTCCCGTAACCCGGCTGTCAAACCGACAGTTAAATTTGAGGATTTTGTGGCCGAACTTAAACAGGCACACAAAATCCCGGTAGCTTTTGGTACATTGCGTGACATGCGATTCGCATATATGCTTAAAAAATTAGATAGGCATTTATATGCCGAAACGTTAGCAAATAATCGAAGTAATGTTACGGAATTTTATAGAAGTTGTCAGGAAGTGTGCGAGGAGAAATTTAAAGATGAAGAATTAGAAGCGGCTTTACCATGGTTGGACCTCAAAGCAAAACTGTATTATAAGCAGTACTAACAAAAAAAAATAATAATAATTTTTTTTTCCCTGATTATTTTTTATTATTATTATTATTATATTATTATTATTTCATACATATATTTTTTTTTAGGCAATAACCGATTTCATTACATGATAAAAAAAAAAAAGAGGTTGCCACAAATCATTATTATATATTTTTATTTTTTTTTTTTCTAGTAGAAATTTTTGCTTTTTTTTAAAAAAAGGACGATATTCAAAATGATAAAAAGACAGTTGTAAATATAACAAAAAAAAAATACCACAAAAAAAAAAATTTTATCAAAATTTATCAAAAAAATTTAGCATATATATATATATATTATATTTCAGGTATTTCAAATATTTTAAAATATTATGAACATATTTTAAATATTTGAGAGAAAGGAAAAAAAAAATACGACACGAAAATCAAATCTTTTGCATTTAAAAAAGTAGGAGAGATTTTCAGAAATTTCGGCATAAAAAAAAAACACACAAAAAAACGTGTTTTAATTTTTATTGTTAGTATAGTGTTGTCTTATATTACAAGCTTTTGAGGTTCAAAAGGAAGTGAATGAGATTGAAATACATTACATTGGATTAAAGGATTAAAATACATTGGATTTTAAAATTGTTTTCGATGGACTTTATTTGAAGTAGTGAGCGAATTATTAACATATTTGTTCATATTATAAATATTATTATTATTATAATATTGAATAATTCGATTATTAATGTTAATCGATTTTAATCAATCGAAAATTGAATTAACAATTAATCAAAGTTCAAGGATCATATAATATAATGATATATATATTATATATATATATAATATTATATATAAAAAATTAAAAAGATTTATAAATATTTATTATATAAAAAATATTAAATATTAATTAAATATTATATAAATTAACGGATTTAATGATTAATTACCAAATTTGACCATGGGCTTCTTACATTTCTTTACACAATTTATAATATTTTAATAATAATATATTTTGTTAATATATTTTGTTAATATATTTTGTTAATATATTTTGTTTAATATAATTAACCTATTTTATAAATTTATACATAATATTATATACTTTTTACTTACTATATCAGAGATATTTAAATGTTTAACCTACTTTATATACATATAACATACATACATATACATACATACATACATATACATAATGTCAGTACGTGCAGATTTTAACTATTATCCAAAATGGAAATATTAGTGAGATGATGTTACACGAATTTTAATCTCGTCTTTTTTTGGATTCGAAAAGAATCTTAGATCCGTTGCGCCACCCTTAATTACTAATACTGCGTGTCGATAACATCATTATGATCATTCAAAGATAATATTCAAAACAATTTTCTATAATTCAATAAATAATTCATTAAATAATTCATTCGTAGAAGATTCATTCATAGATAATTCATTAATAAATAATTCAAAAAACCATTGTAATAACAATTTTTTATTTATTTACTTATCTATTTATTTATTTATTGCAACAATACACATATAAAATACATATAGAACACATCTAGACACATATAGACACATATCCAAACATCATATATAAACAGATATATAAACAGATATATAAACAGATATAAACATTTATACATTTATATACATTTATATGTAATGATTGTATCTTACTGGAAAGTTCTAATTAATTTTTTTTTAATTTTTTTATTTACTTTATTTGTTATTATAATTTTATTATAAAAATTGTAATACCAACACCACATGAAACACAAAATAAACCAATTCTTTGATAATGATAATGATGATGATAAAAAAAAAATAACAAATTTATAATAGGAATAAATGGTAATTAACAATGAAAAAAAAAATTCTACATAATTTTTGTATTGTTATTATTCGAGTAACGTAATTATCTTCACACATTATTATATAATTTTTTTTAATAAATATATTGTACAATAAAATATATGCAAAAAAAAAAATAATAAAAACCAAATTTATCATCAATCCTTTAGTTAAAGAAAGAAAAAAAGAAAGAAAGAAAGAAAGAAAGAAAGAAAGAAAGAAAAAAGTAGAACTCGTTACTCTTATCCATTCTATAGCTACAACAAATATTATATTTATAAACAACAATACCGTTTTTATATATAATAAAAGAAACTGAAATGAAAAATGACATTATAATTGCTTTACTTTTTTTTCCATTGATAATGACCTTGTTGGTAACCATCATGCGGTTCATCTAATAAATTTGATAAGAATAAAGAATATGAATAAAGAAGTGAATAAAGAAATGAATAAAAAAAGAAGAATGTGAAAAAAGAATGTGAATAAAATAAAGAATATGAATAAAATAAAGAATGGAAATAAAATAATGTGAATGAAGAATGATAATAATAATAAATAATAAAATAATAATTTAGATTAGATAAACAATTTACAATTATTATAATTAAACTATAATAAAATTATATGTTATGTAACATACTTTCGTGGCGTGATGATCTTTGCTTTTGGCGTTGGCGTTGAGATTCCTGATATTGATATTGATTCATATTAGGATCCTGTTGTGTATCTGCATACGACTGTGATTTTTGATATTGTTGGTTATTATATTGTTGATTATGATGTTGTTGTTGTTGTTGTTGTTGATTAAATTGCGGATTAAATTGTGGATGATTAAATTGTGGATGATTAAAATGATGATTAAATAGATGATTATGATTATGTTGTTGATAAGGGTCAAATGATGATGATGATGACGTATATTGAATATTTCCATCCTCAATTGGTATATTTGTAACTCTCTGATGCATAACGTTATATCCATTTTGAAGTAAATTTTGTGACGAATTCTCTACTATTACTTGTTTTGTACCGTCTGGCAATATAGTTTCTATGGTAACATTTCCCTTTTTAAAATTTTTGATTATAAATTTTGATTATGAATAAAATTAGATTAAAAATTGATAAATAAAATTAGATTAAAAATTGAATAATTATTAAATTAGAATAATTTACTTATTGCATATATTGCATCAGTAAATTTAATAACAATCTTATATATATACTAAATTTTAAATAATTATTTTACCTCTGGATCTTCCGTTCTAGTCACCGTCGTTCTTACTCCATTAACTGTTTGTGATGTCGTCATTTTTTTATATCCTCCACCTCCTCCATTACCAAGTGAACTAGATGAATAAAATGATGATGATGATGATGATGAAGGAAATCCTCCAAATCCTCCAAATCCTCCAAATCCTCCACCAAATCCCGTTGAAAAGAATTCATTACCAAATGGTGATCTAAATCCAAATGGATCAACATGTCTATGTGTTGATGTTCTCATAAATGGTGGATGAGAATTGAAAAATGGATCATCGACTAAAATATTGGGAAAAGAAAATAAAAATATATATATACATTATATAATATAGAAAATTAAATTATAGATACTATTTTGATAATATAAAGAAAATATTACGTACCAAAACTAAAGATATTACCGGTACCAAAGAATTTACTGAAAATTTCTTCAGGGTCATGAAACTATTATAAAATAAAATATAATTATATATAAAATAAATAAAAAATTAATAAAATTTAAATACAGTCGACCCCTCTCTAAAGGCACCCCCTGTGTAAGAACTCCCCCTATATATAAGAGACCATATTAAAATTCCCTCACTATAAGAGCTCTCCTCTTTAGTCACACCATTTGTTAGTGTAAATATAAAAAGAATATATACCCGGAATGATTCAAATTCATGATCGTTTGATGCACCTCCATTCTTGAGTCCATCTTCGCCATACCTATCGTACGTTTTTCTTTTGTCAACTTTTTTTAAAAAAAAAGTAAAGTATTTATTTAGAACCAAGTAAACAACAGAATAAGAATAATAACAGGAATAAATTATTATTATTACCATCACTTAAAACTTCATAAGCTTCTGAAATCAATTTGAATTTTTCTTCGGCTTCTTCACGTCTGTCAACGTTTTTATCAGGATGCCATAATAAAGCTGTTTATTAAAGAGCAATAAAGAGATCACGACAAATTGATCAAAATTATATTTGAAATCTGATAAAATCGTATTATTTTTTTTTAACCGCAATCAAACCTTGACGTCGATATGCCTTACGAACTTCATCCTCCGTTGCACTGATATCGATCCCCAGAACTTCATAATATGTATCTTTTTTCATCTTTGACCGTTAAAAAAAAAAATTCGTCTTGGGGCTTGTGACGATATATATTATTATTTTTAACCAGACATTGTTAACCATTTTGTTTATAGGTTTAATAATTGTTACACTCATCACGTTTAATATCAATATCTTTCTAGATAGTTCCACGATATTCCTTCAAAGAAAAAAAATATTGAAACAAATTTATTTAATTTATTTGAATTCCCCTATTTATATTTTATTACACAGATATTATTTTTCCGGGGAGGGACTGTTGGAGTCGTGTCGTGTGTGCGTGTGTGTGTGGTTACTAAATTTAATTAGTATGTATAACAAAAAAAAATCTCATTGTTACGTTGCATTTTAGAATTTTTAGAATTTTTTAACATAATAATAGATATAAATTTTATTTCTTTATTTCCTTGACCTTATAACGAAAATATAAAAAAAAAACATTCATCGAATATTAAAATTATGTCATCAAATTAGAATTATTAAAAAATTGACGCAATTGACACAATTGACGCAAGTATTTGACGCAATTACATAGTCTACTTTTGACGACATGTATATTTCGTATATAGCATTAACAAAGATATTCGCATAAATTATTTCTAAAGTCAATAATATTTTTTTTAACAATAAAAAACGCTTGTACGTTTTGTATTTATCCAAGTAGTTACCTGATACTAGCATTTAGAAAAAAAAAATGTGGTTGAGAAATAAAATTCTGTAACATACTCAATGTAGATAACGCAGATAATGCAGAAATAAAAATTCTCTAAAAACTATTACGTTAAGAATTCTATTCAATTTCTCTACAAAAAAGAAACATATAATGGTCTGATATCATTCAAGCATTCCTTACCATTCCTTAATTACCCCCTTAGATTATTTCCCTTTTATTCATTTTTTTTTTAATTTCGAAGATTAGTTTAAATCAGAATTACGCGAAGGATCAATTCTTGAAAATTTGTATCGATTTACAGAATTAGACAAACAAATAACCCTGGGATCAAATAATCCAAGTAATTCACGATTATTAGTATTCAAAAAAAAAAACAAATTAATTCGTTGAAATAATTATTCTTTAAAAAACCTGAATTCTTGTTCCTATAAAGGGATATTTTAAATGTATATTAATCCGAGAAAACAATAAATTTTTTTTCGTAATTATCTCTACCACGAGTAAAATATTGTTACATACTGTACCTAGCAAAAGTATCCGACCACTTAAAAATTATCAATTATAAAGTAAATTTTTATCCGTTAATAACTTGTGATCTA